CACAGTATATCTTACATGCTTTAGAAACTCAAAAGTTAGTACAGTGGTACCTCAGCTTACATACGCTTCAGGTTACACACTCCGCTAACCCTGAAATAGTGCTGCAGGTTAAGAACTTTGCTTCAGGATAAGAACAGAAATCGGGCTGTGGAGGCGCGGCAGCAGCAGGAGGCCCCATTAGCTAAAGTGGTGCTTCAGGTTAAGAACAGTTTCAGGTTAAGAACGGACCTCCGGAACGAATTAAGTACTTAACCCGAGGTACCACTGTAATCACTAATCAATCATACCCAACTACTGTGCGGCCTTTGGTCACACCATTCATCGTCTCATCAACTAGTGATCCAAATAAAAGATTGAATAGTTCAGTACTAGAAATAGAAGCACAAAGGGAACATTGGGAAGTTTGCCGTATGTTAATGCACATATAAGCATAAATATAAACTCAAGATACCTGCTTTCTAGATTTCTGTTCAGCAAAACACTCTATAATGGCATTTTGGTCAATAAGATCTGGGATAGAATGTTCGATGCTGAGAACGAGAAGATCATTAAGGCGTTCATCACCCATGGTTGACTGAAGTGAGTTCCAACGCAAGATAACTCCAGCACCAGACATGTGGTTTTAACAGACTCTCAAGTCCATGAGATGCACCACCACCTAATCTGATCTGATGCTACATGCACAGGCCCTCCAAGTGTCCCTGTTTTCCAGGGACAGTCCCAGATTTACAGAAGCTGCCCCGGTTTCTGATTTGATCCTGGAATGTCCCACTTTTCCTTAGCACATCCCTATTTTCATGGGAGAAATGTTGGAGGGTATGGAGTTATGCAACCCCCGAGCCAAGGAGATAAATAACTATACAACCTTTAGAAGACATCTGAAGGCAGCCCTGTATGGGAAAGTTTTTAAATGTTTAATGTTTTATTATGTTTTTCTATATGTTGGAAGCTGCCCAGAGTGGCCTAGGAAACCCAGTTGGATGGGTGTTGTATTATTATTATTAAATAGGGCATCCTTATTTCCAACAAAGAAATGTTGGAGGATATGCATGCTAGTATGCAGTAACAGAGGTCCAGATTTTACTATTGAAGCCTTGCAGCACATACGGACAAGTATGAGCGTCTTGCTCATTAAGTCGCTGGTCAGCTGCGAGGCATGGGGAGTTCTTGGCAAGAGAGCGTAAGCCTCCAAGGCCAGTGTACTTGGCTGCCCCTCTTCTGCACAGGCTTGCCAAGTTCAGGGACTGTTTAGTCCATGGGAAATGAAAGTGTTTTAATCTACTTTGTTAAGTTTGCTCTGATAAGGATAATATTTTCTGACAAGGATGATATCTGATGTGGCTTCTTCCTATTTTAACACCCTGATGCTTGGAAGCTCCAACCTTGAGACACTTCAGGAGCTGCTGGAAATAGAAGGTTGTTTAGGCTAACTGATATATATATATATTTAAATGATATTTATTAAAGTTTCAAAAAATACAAGAAAATACAGAATACAAAAATAAATAAATAAAGTTTTTAAGATATAACAAAAAAGTAAAAAATAAAAAGAAACATACAAAATAAAACAGTTAAAAACACGTTAATTTTCCATAGCCTATCTTCCTTACACTTGTTTCCCCGGACCTCCTCGTACCTCCCTTTTTTGTATTCCAGTTCAATTTGTTAGTTCAGCAAATCCTTACCATTAAGCTTTTCCCCATTTGTAAGCCTTTTTTTTTCGTATCTCTTAAAGCATTACAGCTGGAAACCACTTAGTTTCTATCCAACATCCTTCTAAGATTCCTTAATTTTACAATATTTCTGTAAATAGTTTTTAAATTTCTTCCAGTCTTCTTTCACCGACTCTTCTCCCTGGTCTCGGATTCTGCCAGTCATTTCCGCCAATTCCATGTAGTCTGTTTAGGCTAACTGATAAAGGGGGAAGCCTCATAGAATAATTTCCTCCCTTTATATGGTGGCAGCGGAACATCGTGTTAGCTGTGGATTCCCTTCCTTCAGACTGGATGGCTGGAAGTTGGTCATAACAATCTGCTTCCCATTTTGGCCTGGTGCAAACTGCAATTCTCCCTCCTGGCAAACTGGAACACTGGTAGTGTTGCTGTAGTTGTAATACTGCTTTATAATGGATATAGGCTTAAAGGTGATATAAAATGATTTAAAAACAACCAAAGCAGCTTTGTGTCTTGAAATTAAAAGACCATAGAGGGTATCCTGGGCCCAATTTGTTAATTCATGAAAGAACCTTAAACCTGGTCTGGTAGTGTATGGGCAGTCAGCACAGTCTTAAGATAACTTAAACTTATTTCAGCTCAGATCCACCTTCGATATTAAACCAAAATAAATATTTAAATCAAGCTATGCTACGCTCATTATTTTCACAATGAAAAAGGGGGGGGGGGGAGAGAAATGACATAATCAAAGTAACACAAATATTGTGGATTTAAAAATGCAACTAGCCTTGCTCTCTGCCTTTTATCTTATTATTATAATTATTATCTTATAAGTAGTGACTGACCCAAAGTGAGCTTCAGGGCTGGGTGGGAGATTTGAACCCAGGTCTCCCTGGTCCTAGTGCAACACTTAGGTAGCCTAGTCACAGTCATTATGAAAGTTCATCAGTACACACAGCTGCCAGTCAATGTCAACAACACTAAGCAAGATGGACTAAGAATATGATAGTGTCCTATGTTGCTATGCTGTGTGTAGCAAGCATCAGTTATTGTGTTATTAAGGGTGCAAGGTGATTTATCTGTCCAGAATGTTGGCGCTTCCTCGCTATTTAAATATCAAGTAAGTGCAACAAGTGATCAAATTATCTGGTATTACCAGCTTAAAGCACTCAAAACACACAATAGCTTTAATCACCCATGAATCATGTCAGGTCACAGTGTAATGACAGAGTAAGAGAGTTTCAAGGTGGAGTTGCTATATTCACATGCAACTTCCTTTGAACGGTGCGGAGTTTGGAAGCAATTGTTTTCAGCTGTTAGAGAAAGCTTCCTAAAGATAGCACAATTCAGCAGTAACAGAATCAGATTCCACATGATAAAGAGAAAGCATCCTTTTATTAACTAATTTTCTTATGGGGAAAAAAAAATAAACCCTTTAAATCTCTGGTCTTCAGCTTGTGGGTCAGAACCCACTAGTGGGTTGGGGCCCAATCCAATGTGGGTCACAACAGGAGCACTCCCTCCTGTGCAAATATATGGCGAAATATTAAGAATTTGATCCCCAAATGCATGCTTGGGTTTAAAATTGGTCTTGGATCTGAAAAGGTTGAAGATATCTGCTTTAAATGAAGTGATGTGATTTACCAGAGAGACAGAGTGACATAATGTTTAGTGAGCGCTGCAACCCCAGAGTCGTCCTGGACCTAACGGTCAGGGGTCCCTTTACCTTTAGGATTGGGAAGGAGACCCAAGTGCAAATCCTCCACTTTGCCATGAAATGAACTGAGTTAGGCCAACAAGCAGCCTAACACACATCTAGGGGTGTTGTGAGGATAAGAGGAAGCATGTGTATGTAACCTAGAGCTCAAAGGAGGAAATCTGCAGATGCGAGGGAAAGAAGGAAGTAGTATAGCATAGCACAGCAGCAGCTGTGCAACCTGATCTTATTGGACTTCCTTCCATGTAAAGGTGTATGGAATTTGTACAGCCAGATCTACTCAGGAAGCAAACTATACAGTTTAATGGGACTTATTAGTAAGTATTTAAAAGCATTTATAAACCGCTTAATATTTGATAAATCTCTTAAGCAGTGTTCGGTACAAAACCAAATTATTATAAAATACATAAAAGCATATAAAAACAAGTAGAGCAGGAATTCAGGACACTCAGTTGCCCCAGAGAAATGCGTATGGAATCACTACAAACTAATTTTCCCCAAGCATATTTTACTCTGAAACAAGCCTTTCTGCATTCAATGGGACTTTCTTCCACAAAGCACTGTAGCAGATGTACACAGTGAAGTATCTAAGTGTTAGCCATGTATCTGCTCAGGATAGTAGTACCGCTGTATTCTGCCAATTCAGACCACACCTGCAATCCTGTGTTCAGTTCTGGGCGCAGTGATTTAAGAAGGATATTACTGACAAGATGAAACATGTGCAGAGGAGGGCAACTGAGATGATCAAGGGTCTGGAAACCAAGCCTTATGAGCAATGGTTGAGGGATCTGTGTATTTTTAGCCTGGTCAAGAGAAGGCTGAGAGGAGGTATTAAAGCCATCTTCAAATATCTCAAGGGCTGTCCCATCGAGGATGGGACAAGCTTGTTTTCTGCTGCTCTGGAGGCTAGGATCTGAACCAATGGGTTCAAGTTACAAGGAAGGAGATTCCGACTAAACAACAGGAAGAACTTTCTGATGGAAAGTGCTGCTGGACAGCGGACCGGCCTCCAGCAGAAGGTGGACTCTGCTTCATTGGAGGTTTCTAGCACTGCAGAGGGTCCCTCGAGGTCCCTTCCAACGCCACAATCTTATGATTCTGTAAGTCCAGGGGAGCCCAACATAGCTTTTCCCAGCCTAATTTCGGGGGCACGTGACCCCATAAGCAAGTCCCAGGTTATTTGCACCATGGGATTGTCGCGGGGGTGGGGGCAACCTTCCTTCTCTTTCCCCTTCCCTCCGAATTGTTTTGCCCAGGGTGGGGTGGAGAGGGGCGGGGTATTGCACGGGATCCCTGGGCGCTGCGCGCGCCCCGCCTTGCTCATTATCACCATCCCTCCGCCTCTTCTGGGTGATACGTGCGGACTCGAGCCTCCCCCGCGCTCGCAGGGGAACAGCCAGGGGCGTGGTCGATGACAGTGATGACGTAGCGAAGCGGAGGCGGAGAGAACTGGAGAGCGAGAGGAGAGGGGTGCGTGGGGAGGGGGGGCGGAGATAGAGGGCTGCACGAGTCGCGCAGGCGCAGCACCTTGTTTACCCCGTTCTTATCCAGAATGTGTCTTATATGCTGTCCTTTACCCCCCTCCCCCTCCCTTGCATTTCCGAGTCCTCCCGGCAGATGCCGCTCTAGGCCCAGCAGCGGAGAGCGTGCTCGGTGGCCGCCAGGTGGCGCCTGCGCTCTCCATTCGCTCTCCTGCCGCCGAGCTGCGAACACCCCAAACAATCCCCAGCGCCGCCGCCACCGCCAAATTAAATAATCCGCCCGTTTCGCTCCCTTCAAACCCCCCCTCCCACAACGCCCCGCTCGAGGGCCCCCCTTCTCGGCCTTCCTACTAGGCCCCACTTTCCACCCCCCCTCCCCCGCTGCGGGGGCCTTTGAAGGTAAGGGGTCGACCTGACCCGAGTTGTTTGGCCTTGGAAGTGAGAGCGAGGGAGGGAAAGCAGAGAGGAGAGAAGCGAACTGCAATAATTACTTGGAAGAGGAGAGCGAGCGAGAGAGAGGACGGGGGGGGGGGGGGAAGGCGCGCAGGGCCCGAGGAGCCCCGTCACAGCCAGGCCTGCCGGGTGAGGTAAGTTCGACCGTGGCGTAGAAGCTTCTGGAAGTTTATTTTTCTGAGGAGGGAAAATTTCGAGGGGGGAAGTTGTTTGTTTGAAATCAAATCGCCGCGAGGGGAGGGGCGCGCGCGTGTGTTTGCGGGGTTTTGTTTTTTGTTTTTAAAATGATTATTTATTTTTTGAGCGGCGGCGGAGGGGGGGGGTGTACGGAGAAGGAGGCAGCGGGCGGTGGTGGGGGGGAGGAAGGAAAGAAAGGGAAGCGGCCAGCGGCAACAACAACAACGAGGGTGACGGCGGTGTTGTGTAATATATATAGATAGATATCTGGAAATATCGGTGTCCCTATCCATCTTTCTTTGAATATGGAATGTAGGGCAGGCCTCGGAACAGCTCGAGTCTGAGGGGAAACTCGCAAGCGCAGGCAAGATGGAGGACGCGGGGCCGAGCGAGCGAGGAGGGAGGAGGAGATGGTGGGGGAAGAAGGCGAAGGAGCCCCACAGACGCTGCCTGCCCTCCCGCCTCCCCTCATTCGCTCGCCCCTTTTCCCGGCGCTCCCTTGGACGCGGCGGCGGGAGGGAGCAAGCCTGAAGACGGAAATAACCCCCCTAATTTTTTTTTTTTAAAAAAATACAAATTGCACCAGTCTTAAAATTGCTGTTTTTCTTCTCTTTCTTTGACTCCATTCCCCCCTTCTCCAACCAACCTCCTTTCAACCGGAGAGGAAAAAGGCCTAGCCCGCCTCCTTCGGGCGCAAAAAAAATGGAGACTCGCCCCTATCCGTTCCTCTGTGCCCCCCTCTTCCCCGGGAAAAAAAAAAAACCGATCCAGGGGTTATTGTGAGGGATGGGGAGGCTGCTAGGGTAGGTAAGAAGGAGAGGATGCGAGCCTGTGTTGTCTACTATTAAGAGCTACGGCTGGCAAGATGGAGGATTTCCAGCAGATTATTTTTGGAGGGGATGGAAAGGGGTGTGTAGTGTGTGTGTGTGTTAGAAAAGGGCACTTCGTTGGATATGTTGGGGTTTTTTTAATAAAAAAAAACACACCACCACCACAACAACAGCACAAATGCCTAAGCTCTTAACGTTGTGAACCGCCCTAAGATCTGCGCATGAAGGGCGGTATACACATCGTAACAAATAATAATGATGATGATTCGCTCAACTCCCCAAGCCGGGAGAAGGCGAGTCGGACTTCTCGGATCTCCGTGGGAGGAAGCTACGGGGGCGCTTGTAAGACACGCTTGGTGGCAGAGAAATCAGGAAGGGTGTTTTAAAAACGATTAGTGGTGTTTCTGCCTTCCGATCCTTCTCTACCCCCCCAGCACCCCCGTTCCCCTCCCACACCCTCCTCCACTTCAAAGCGATGAGAATGAAAATGACATACGTTTTATTATTTTTTAAATTGCTTTGCATATTGGGGAATTAAAAACTTGCGAGCGGGCGTATGCCTCAAGCTGGACGGAAAACCCTCAACTTTTCTTGTCCTCCTGTGACTTTGGCAGAGGGACAGTATATCATGGGAAAGGGATGTACTGGGAGGAGTGAACACTCCTGTCTTTCTCTCTGTTCGGGCAGGAACTTTTGCGGGAGTTGTTTCTCCACACCGATAATGATTTTTAAAGTGAGCTGTTGGGAAATCGTGGGATTTGCTTCTTGCCCACTTCCATCTCGACGCATTTTGAAATTGTGAGGAATGTACAGCTCGGTGTCCTGAACATGTTAACGTAGAAGGAATTTGCACTGTGTTCAGACAGCCTTTACTCACCAGTAAAAACCCCAAGGATTGTAACCTTAGACATGTCGTTTCCCACCCCCACCCCGGCCTTTTATGTTTTATGGTGGCCGCTTTGAACTGTTATTGGTGGTGGTGGGGGAACCAAACCCCTGTTCAAAGTGACTTTTTGGTGTGCTTGTGCTGCTGGAAACCCCGCTGGGTCGCTGCCGGGTGGGAGGGGAGGAAGAGGCGGAAGGAGGCTGTTTAATAGCTTTGGGGTTTTTTTTTTAATTTTGGCGCCACTTTTGTTTTAGATACAGTACTCGCTTGTCGCTCTTTTCCCGTTCTCTCCACACTCTTAGAAATTGAGCTGATTACTCTCCAGGTATGAACTGGTCCCACTTTCTTTGACGTAAACCTATCCTTCCGTCGGCGGATCTGGTATTTTTGTATTTTGGGTGTTTGTGTGTGTGTTTGTGTGCGTGTCCGTCCGTCCCTGAAAATAGGGCGGCGGCGAAACGACCCAAAGTGGGTGAAACCTTGTGAGATTCTTCCCACTCCCGATTTTTGGTGGTGTGCGGTGTCTAGCGTGAACTTGCTGCCCTTGGATTTTGAAATGTGTTAGTTTTACCGCCTGCTTTTTCCATTTTCTGTTGACTTGTTAAGCTCCGTTTTGAACCTCTTTGTGTCCACTTTCAGCACATGTATGTATATATGGGGCAGGGTATTGATCAACTTGCCAGTCGGCCTAAGCAACTGGGGGTCTCCCCGGGCGCTGCTGCCCTCGAGGCTTTCCACACCGCGGCTTGTAGCCCTTATTCGGTAGTTCCCTTCCTGCGGTGAGGGAGGAGGTGCTTTTGGCTGCCACACCCCATGTTTGTTTCATTCTAGCCGAGGCTCGGCTCGGCTCGTCCCCTTTCCCCATGGAGATGCCGGCTTAGCTCCGTTCTCTCGACGCCGACGGGTTAAGAGGAGGAAACCTGCCGAACAAAATTATCTGTTATTGTCGTCCTCCTCCTCTTAGGGAAGGAGGGTAGTTTTCTTTTTTTCTCAGCATCATGGGGGAGGGCGGGGAGTCGGGTTACCGAAGTGCGTCACACACAGTCCTTGTTGATGGGGCCTACTCCGCAGCCGACTTGTGCTCCGCTGTTCGCAGAAATCACCCCCGCCCACCCTCTCCCTGCATTCTCGCTTTCGTCAGCCTCGCTAGAAGACACCGAATCTTCTATTCTTGGCAAGTGGGTTTAAGTGCACTTGAGGAAAGGCTGGATTTGTAAACATCTGAACACGCGTGTGTTTCTGAATGCAAATCATTTGAGTTTGTGGACAGAGTAGTGCATGATTTAAGACCTCCCTGAAAGTGCTAAGGCCTACTCCCTGAAAGTGCGCTGTAGAAAGAGAGGTATTTCAATCCACACCTTGGGGCTGCCATCAGAAACATCGTCTGGAGTCTTGCAGATACAGCATCTGCCCTGAATTTCAACCAAAGCTTGCGCCTCTGCTTAAGGACACAACAGAAGCTTTGTAAGTTAAGATTGTTCTCAGTAGTGTACGATGCTTATAGATTTGGGGTGTTTTGCAGTGGAGATATAATACTTTCCACGTGGTGTCTCTTCAACATGGGGTATTATATTTTGGAATAAAAGGACACTGCGCTCTGCAGTGCATTGTTTACAAACAGCCTAAAGTTTCTCAGCAAGCTAGGAGGTGATGGTCAGTATTTTTACTACCATAGATTAATAATGTTTCATGGTTTCATAACCTAGAGCCTGTCTTAGCCCAACCTCAAAAGGTGACCCACTTTTAAGATTATACTGTATTCTTTTCATTTTCTCCTCTTTGGCTCTCTCTTCCAACTCAATTCCTTGCCATTCCTTTCTTATTTCCTTGTCTTAATCCTGCCTTTCACCCTGGGGTCTCAAAGTGGGCTACAGCAATTGAAACACAATATTAAAAATAGTTCAAAACAACTTAAAATCATAAATTGCTGCTGCCCCCTCAATTCACATTCAGTTGGATATGATCTACATGTGTCACTAGCCTATTTTATGACTGCTCCCTTACCACCTCAAAGCAGGGACATTTTTGACATTATGTAACACTTGGGCCGAACTGTGGTGTCAGATATGTTTGTACAAAGTGCTGAAAAGTTATTAACAGCTCTGTAATCATGGAGTGCTTAGTATTTAGTTGCTATTTTGTGAGTAAAAACAACTAAGAGTCTGGTTGGTACCTTATTGTGGCATTAGCTTTTCTGAACCAGAGCTTGCCTTTACTGTATAAGAGATCTGGCAAAGTGAGATTTAGTCCACAAAAGCTTGTTGTTATTGTTGTTTAGTTGTTTAGTCGTATCCGACTCTTTGTGACCCCATGGACCAGAGCACGCCAGGCACTTCTGTCTTCCCGCAAAAGCTTATGCCACAATAAATGGGTTAGTCTGTAGAGTGCCACTATATTCTTAGTTGCTCCTAGTGGAACAGATGTAACGTGGCTACCCTTTCGAGTTTTGTGAGACAAAACTGTAGGGTGCCAATAGGTTGATCAAACCACTGGCATTTTTCTGAGTTTGGGGGTTGTGGAAGAACAGTTTCTTGATAGTTTTTCTAGTTTCCATGGCTCTTGCTTTAGAACTTGGATAGGCAAATATATACATTCCTGAGACAGATTTTCTCTGGTGCACCCCAGGAGCAATTCAAAACAGTCCTATGCTGAGTAGGAAAGGTTAGGGTGCATTGTATATTCCAATGCACTGAACTGGCCTTGAATTAGTATAAAAAACTTATAGCAGCCAAAGCTCTCTTGGCATAAATTAAGGTGATAGAAGTTACACTGGTGTAGAGGGCAAAAAGGGTGTGTGTCAAGAATGGGAAATGGGTTTGCTGGAGTGGAGAGAGGAATAAACAAAGTAATGCTGATCCTAGCTGATTTCACTAGCAGAACTCTGCGTAAGATACACCACTAAAACTGCAGGTAAAACTAAAATCATCCCATAAGAGTCAACCAAAGGGCAGAAAATAACATTTGATGCTTCCCACCCCACACAGCCTGGCACCACATACCCTGCCTGAAGCAGCTAGAATGTAGCTTACATTGCCATATGAGCATCTTGGCTGTGAGTCTGGAAGACCTGCTCCCTGTCTTTGTAACCCTTTCCTACTTTGCCTGGGTGGGCAGTGCCCTGACGGACTCTAGCTACAAAAGCTGAGGTGGCTGAGTAGACTCTTGTGTTGGGGGATTGCTTGTGGGATTTTGTTACTGTTGTTGATATAATTTTTTGGTATCATCATTTTAAAATCTCATTATTTATGTGGAACTTTCTCAATTTGGTTATATACTTCTTGATATGCTTTATTTATTTCTGACTATTGTTATGTCTGTAATTTTGAAATTCTTTTTCTATTGTCAGGCACTTTCAGCATAGTTTTATCTATGGAAAGGGAACATTCAAATAAAATGATGATCGGCTTGCTTAGGATTACTTTGCTCAAGACCACCACTTCCCTGATACCACATTCTTCTGTCAGTCCCCCCCCCCCTTTCCATACACACAAGATCACCCTCCCCGGACCTGGAGGCTGATGATGTCAAATTTATGCTCAAATTTGTCAAATGCTTCTGACTATGAACTTTATAACAGTTGGTGCACACTCAGTACATTACTGTCCTTTTGTTTCTCATAATAAAGTGGTACCTTGTGTTACAGATGCTTCAGGTTACAGACGCTTCAGGTTGCAGGTTAAGAACTTTGCTTCAGGATGAGAACAGAAATCGTGCAGTGGCAGCGGGAGGCCCCATTAGCTAAAGTGGTACCTCAGCCTAAGAACAGTTTCAGGTTAAGAACGGACCTCCAGAACGAATTAAGTTCTTAACCCGAGGTACCATATATAGTTGTCCTGATGGAAGATAATGTCTGATAGCCTCAATTCCTGTGCAATTCTGCTGAATTTTCAGGAAAATACACCCTATACATTTGTTGCCAGATCACATATTTACCATGTGCTGAACGTGTGTGAAGGGAAATGTATTTTTCATGTGTGAGAAGTAAAGTATAGCGTTTGATGGTTTACTTGGCAATGTGAGTTTTTGAGACGTTAGTGAATAGCTCAAAGTCATGTGGATAGGTGTTTGAACCAGGTCTCCCTGGTCTAAGACCAGCACTCTAATTACTATCCAATACTGTACAGTACTGGCTTTTCATATTAGTTGTGTTTGCAAGCGGGGTGGGGGTGGGGAGTTGCTGATTCAGCCAGTGGGCATTCCCGATAGAGTAGAATGGTTGAAGGTTGGTAATGTTGTACAGTGCCATTCCAGGTTATGAAAAGTTGAAATGATTACTCACATGGTTGTGAGTCTGTTCTGATTTGAACACACGGGCAGTTGCATTCATCTATAAAAAATAAAGTCAGTTTTTTGCTCAAGCAGTTTTTGGTGGTGGGCACCATCTTAGGGCACACACAGATTGTATAGAAATGCCTTCCTCAGATAATATGCTTAGCTGAAGCTGTGTTTCTGGAACTGTGATATTCTGTGTCTCAAAACAATGCTATTATATATAGCAATATAAATTGTTGATTTTGTGTACCCTTTATCTTGCACCACTCAAGTTGTCATGTGAAAAAGAACTCATTTGACTAAAATAATAATCTGAATTTGTTTTAAACAAACAGCTATGGCGAAACTAGCCACATGTTTCTGTCTGTCTTGATCCTCCCAAGGTAGTGGTTTATTACTGATCCCAGCAGCTGTTTGAGTCCAGGGAAGGATTTAAAAAAATACATATTTCAATGTTAGTTTATTTGCCATCGTGCAGTTAACCACTACATTCAGGCACTAATCCAGGGATTGCACAGCCACTCCTGATTTCAGGTGCTATGAAGAAATAATCTGTATATCGTTGGTGTACTTATGACAACTCTCATCAGCCAAGGCAGACTTATCACAACCACTTTTACACCACTTATGGACCAATATTACCATGAGAAAGGATTGTTTTAAAATTATTTCAAGCTATGTGGTAGTGTTCTAATTCCTTACTCATTTGCTTATTCAGTGCTTGTTGCTCTATAGCCCCTATTAAGCTCTGCAACTATCAAAGAGGAGGCTTATTTCTGCCCATCTTTCCCCAAGAACCAGTAATTCTGCACTGACTATTTGCACTATCCCAAATAGTCTGTTAATGCAACCAAGCACAATATACACAGAGGAGACATAAAAATGGGGAAAGAAGGAGCATAACAGCAATATGCTGTTAGAGAAATTATGTGTTATCTCTCAGGGCACAGCAATGATAGGAAGAAATAATGGGAAGAAAAAAAGGGGGGAATAAATGAGCAGTTCTGTATTTGAGTTAGTTTGGGTGGATAGTGAGATTGTATATGTGAAGTGTATTCTCCCCCCACCCCATTTTTAGGGGTGTTTTCAATACTTTTAGCTGTTTGGGATATATAATTGTGTTCCTCTTTCTACGAAAATTTTACCCATCCCAGTTTAAGGTAAACTATTGTATAGTAAAGCAGAACACAGCAAATGCATTAAGCCATTTTCAGGTAGTTTTCTTAAACTGTATGTGTGCTTTAGGGCAAGAGTAGACAAGCGTTTGCCCTCCAGATGTTCATGCACTTCAGCCTGGTTCACACATCACATTAAGCCATAGCTTATTATACATATCACTTACTGTGAACAAACAAAGGGGGAAGGGGCAAACTTTGGAAGTTGCCCTGAGCTCCTTAGAGGAAAGGCATAATGCACATTGGAGGCAACTAAATTAAATTCGCTAAAATATTGACATAAATCTAGCTAAACATTTCTATAATCAGCATACTTTGGTGCTCTGTCTTCCTTCCAAAATCACCCCCCCCCAACAACATCATCACCTCAGCCACCTCAACCTAGCTAGGGGCACCATGGTAGAAGTAGGCTTCCATAACCATTTACCTAACTGAATGGGGAATCATAGACAGAAACAACAACCATACACACCTTCCTTTAGATGATCCAACAATCAGAAATGAGCACAAATGGGCTTCTAGGAATGTTAAAATTCTGCAGATCACCTGTAAGGAAAAGGAGTGGGCTGCAAGATAAAGTGCTTGCTCACTTTCCCCCCAAATAGCAGTTTAGCAGGATTTTAAAAGGTAAAGGACCCCTGACAGTTAAGTCCAGTCGCGAATAACTCTGGAGTTGCGGCACTCATCTCACTTTACTGGCCGAGGGAGCCGATGTTTGTCTGCAGGCAGTTTTTCCGGGTCATGTGGCCAGCATGACTAAGCTGCTTCTGGCGAAACCAGAGAAGTGCACAGAAACACCGTTTACCTTCCTGCCGGAGCAGTACCTATTTATCTATTTGCACTTTGATGTGCTTTCGAACTGCTAGGTTGGCAGGAGCTGGGACTGAGCAACGGGAGCTCACCCCGTCACGGGGATTCGAACCGATCGGCAAGCCGTAGGCTCAGTGGTTTAGACCACAGCACCATCTGTGTCCCACAGCACAGGATTTTAGCTGCTTTCAAATAGTTCTGTACGTTCAGCCCTGGCTGCTCCACTCCGTTGGATCAGTATTTCTATCTTTTGCCTCTCAGTGTCTTAAGTTCTAGTGCAACAGGAAGCCATGTGTTCTGCACACCTTTTTTTTATCAGTTGAGATCATAAATTTGCTTGCTGTCCATTAGTTGTAAGGACGAGATGGCAAGGGGAAGCTGTGCAAATTGGCTACAACAAATTGGCTATAGAAATCATGATAATAAGTATCAGCTTAATTTTCTTCAAGTTAAATAAGATCTTCTATCAGCATACACATATTTCTTGAGAGCCACAAGCATGGATTTTCAAGGCAAGTCTCTGCTATGCATACAATTAAATTGGACGTATATTTCATAGTAGCAATTCCTGCTTGGATGTTTCTAACTCTCAAATAGCATAGATAGTGGCTACCAGATGCCAGCCTAAACAGAACAATTTTATGTTTTTGAAAGTCAATATCTGTTTCGACAAACCTTATAGAAAATACAGTGGTGCCTCGCAAGACGAAATTAATCCGTTCCACGAGTCACGGCTATTAGCGGCTTAGCGGCTATTAACGGCTTAGCGGCTTTAAGAAAAAGGAAACAAACTCGCAAGACGTTTCGTCTTGCGAAGCAAGCCCAAAGGGAAATTCGTCTTGCGGAACGACTCAAAAAACGGAAAACCCTTTCGTCTAGCGAGTTTTTCGTCTTGCGAGGCATTTGTCTTGCGGGGCACCACTGTAAGTTACAAAATTGTAGGGTAGCTATCAGGAAAACCTGTTTGTTGAACTTAAATATAGTACAGAGACAGCATTGATGTGAGAAACTGTTGCTTCAGTTCATGTCACAGGTACAGTTTTTCTGATTAATGATGATATAGCTTTACCAAGGACAGTTTCCCATATATCTCCAATCAGGTCACAGTGTGAAATGGAAGTGGAATACATGAGTCTTGAGCCAGAAAAATGACTCAACAAGTGGAAGGTAGAAATAAAGAAAAGCTAGTAACAACGGACAGTGAAGTACTGTACATGGGTAGCCAGCGTACTTCCCATCAACCCCTGCCAGCATGGCCATTGGTCAAGGATGGTGACAGTTTTAGTCAAATGGCTACAGATAGTTCAACATTTAACCTTCATAAAAGCCCCAATAACTGTTCCAAAATATTTATGCTTGAACGTTAAGGAAGGTCCTGTAGGGGCAAAGCTATCCTGTTACTCTAGATTTTGGATAGTGCTACATGCAAGATGAGGATTAGTGTTCCTAGGTGGCAAAAAAAGAGAGAAGCACTGGATAGCATAATCCAAGATCTTGGTTCATTCCTGCCACTAATTAAGTCCACAGTGGATCCTGAACCATAGAGGTCTGGTAAAGGGAAGATCTGCAGGATGGGCTATTAAACTAGTATGAGAACATCAGTAGCTCAGAACAAGTAATGTGAGAGGCACAACTTGTATATATAGAATAAATATTTCTTGATAAGACAGTGTCTAATCAGAGGAACAAGGAGGCTTAACATAGGTATACAAAAAACTGCCTATATCATTTCAGTGCATTAGTTCACTAGCTCAGGATAGGAGTCTTTCCCAACCCCACCTGGAAATGCCAGGCATTGAACCTGGGACCTGCATACAAAGCATGTGTTCTGCCATTAAATTGTGATCCTTCCTCATCTTACGCTTTACTGTTGCATGCTGCAGACTGTCTTTGCCTCAGCCAGTCATCCCCTGATCCTTGATTGAACAACATGACATGAAAATGGAGCTATCAATGTCTATTAGTTATGGTGCGTATATGACGCTCCCAGGTTCAGAGTTCATATGTTCCTATATAACAGTACTGCCTGTAAAAGAATAACAGTGGGAGATGTTTATTATCCTCGTGTTGTGCTTGAAGGCATCTGGTTGGCCATTGTGGAAAATAGGATATTGGATTAAATAGGCCTATGGCCTAATCCAGCAGAGCTCTTAAGTTTTTATGGCTGAAACCATGGCCCTTGACAGTGAAATGGAGTGGTAGCATTCTCAGAGGAATGCAGAAACCAAGCCATTTAAGCTCCCTCCAAACAGAAAGAATATAGATATATTATGGTGAACAAAATCCAAAATTTCCGTATTAAGCTAACCAAAGTAAGACAAAATAGCATTCCAAGTTGTTGAATAGCACTTCTGGCCAGATGATAAACAAAGGGGCTGGGGATGGAATCAACTGTTACACCCAACACCATGAGTATGTTCCATCTTAAGAGCTGTAAGACCAGATGTGTGAGAAAATAGACTTTTAAATAAAGCTCTTTTCAATGCAATGCAGGTGTGAGGCTGTACCAGCTCCATATTCCTCAACTCCAGATATATAAAAACTTTCTTTTATTCAGATCTGCCTCAATCCTTAAGCAAAGCACTCACTTCCCTTGATAGATAATATAAATTAAGAGAATCTAGGCTGCCATAATGGTAACAGAATTCAGAATTAATTTTAGGAGGTATTCTAAGCAAAAAAGTCAATAGAGGCCAGATTCAGTAATTTTACCTAGCAGTTGAAAGAACATGTTTATTCAGAGAATAACCCCCCCCCCCAATCTTAGATGATATAAATATTCCTACTGTTTAGGTTTTCACTGTTGAACAGCTAAATTTGATCTTTTCCAGGTTTACCATCAAGATGATAAAAGTTCTAAATAAGTCAAAAGCTTAAGGTTTTGATTAACTAGAACATGTACAGCTCTAATTTGGATTTTTCATTATGGCCAACAATGCCATCTTCACTTACTTGTGAGTGGCAGACATTTAAGTCCCATTTACTGTGATGCCAACAAATAAAGGTTGAAATCTTTCCCCAATGCTATGCTTTTAAATAAGGCGAGAGGAAGTTTAGTATAAAATCGAACATTTTCTAGCACTCTTTACTAAAGAACTGAATAAAAATCTATATCAATATAAAATTTAACATTTGTTTGAGACAAACAGAGTTTGTGCAGAGTTATTCCCATTTCTTCGTCATTTGTCTAGAACTTCTTTATACAGTAACTGAGGAAGAAAGATCAGTCACAGCATGTTATCAGTGCATCTCTGCCAATGTACTGCTGCAACAAATAACTAAAGTGACACAAGTAATTCACAAAGCTGTACATGATGCTACCTCTTGGGTGTAATTAATGCATCTCTGTGTTAACTGGAGCATAGAGATAGAGGTTTCCTTTCTTCCAAGTTCTTTGAAGTTGTGCTGTCCTTTGTGCAGTACAGTCTTTCCCAAAACCTTGGCTGTACTGTGTACTCCTAGAATTACAGGAAAATACTACAGAAGCACAAAGGGATTTACATTTCTACACTTTCTCTTTCTGACCATCTCCAATTGGAGACCACTTCTTTCCTGAAGCCCCAACTCTGCTGGATGTGTTAACTTCTGGTCCTCTAAGACCCCATTGCTCTTTGGCAATTTTAAGTAAAAGCTACCCATTAGGTTAAAAGAAATACATATAATGCTGACTGAGGTTGATGGGATTTGCGAGTCCAGCACCTTCAGGATACTGTGTTGACTGCCACTGGCTTAGACCAACCCTTACTTACATAAAGTTGAATTTAAGAATTGCATTTTAATGCATTTCCAGCCTTGCTCAGTAGGTCCACAAACGTTTTTAGTTAACAGTGACGACAGCGGCAGCAGCAGCAGCAGCAGCAACAATAACAAATACTAGCTGGAGACTGGCAGAGGAGGGAAGAAGAGATTATTATCTTCTCCAGCAGTCTGCTGAAACCAAGGGGGCAGCCCACTTGGTTTCTGGGGTGGGTGCAGAGGACAGATGGAGTAGTCCATCCCTCTTCCAGCAGACCTCTCAAAGTCACCAGCATGTTGTTCTTTGTCACCTATGATTACAAGGTTATGCATGATCATGGCTTAAAATTCAAAACGTAATAAATGCTACTGTTTTGTGCTTCAACACATTATATTTTCAGTTAGCAATATTAATGCTTTCTTATGTAGAAAATGCAAAATGTCATGTAATGAGGTGTGTGCAAAAACATATCTTCCGGAGTTTATCATCTGAAGAAGAAAAAATTGTAATTCTTAGCTTCATAATATCAGCATACATCTAGGAACTCTTTAAGTTGTATGTCATAAGAATACTTGCAGTATAGAGTAATAATCATCAGTTATTTAACTATCAGTTATTTGGATGTAGTATATCATCCAGAAAGGTGAACCTTTGCATACTGTGCCAAGTTCACAAAATCAGAGTATTAGCTGCACACCTTAGACAAGCTTTTGTTTTATGAATTTACTAAATATGCAAGCACAATTGGTAAAGACTTTTTATATATTTTTGTTGGAATTATTCTAACTATAATAAGAAACCAAGAGGAAAATACCTTTATCAAAGACTGGGACTATCTGTATTTGTGGACACATATAAGTTCTCTATCAGGATTAGTTTAAAGTCAAGCAATTAAAATTAATGTGAAAGGAAAACTAGGGATTAATTAATAATTAGAATAAAAGGATAACAAAGCAGTGTTATGAACTATACAAATATATGAAACAGCAAAAGGGGTGAGGGGAAGTCAAAATATACATGTTTATTGGGAAAATATTGGATTTGTATTTCTAGAAAATGTTTCAAAAACTGAAAAATAAAATTTATATAATTTTACAGAAAGAACAGCAAAAATAGAAAGAAGTTCATTTCAAATTAAAGTATTACTGTATAGTTAAAATTTGACAAAAGACTAACAGTAAAATAGCAAAAATCAAAGGAGTTCATGCTTATGGTACCATTTGTACTGAAGGTTATGTTTGGAAAAGGAAGAACCAATAACCACCACTGTGAATTCCTTCTTCACTCCCAAGCAGTCCACAAAATTCAGACCCGTGCAGGTATCCACAATGCACTCATTAGCTCAACAAAAGCAATTACTCCTGGCAATCTGTCACATAGCACACAGATTTCCTCTCCAGAGCTCCCTTTTGTTCTGTAGTTTAGGTCTTGAGAAACAACAGAAACTCTTCCAAACAGTGGGATATATTTCTGCTGGTTCTTACCTTCTCCATACATCAGTACAGTGGAAATACTCTTGCTGCCCCTCTGCATGTATCATATAACTATGGGAAGGAAGATGGCCATAAATAATGGCTGACTAGTAAGCCAAGCAAAAATATGTAGTCTACAGGGACTGAACACATGGTTTTCCTCCCATAAGTTTTCCTTTAGATACCCATATTCATGCAAACTCTGGGTGAAGACTGACTTTGTATAGGAAAAGAAAAACTGAAATGCCTACTGAGCATCATTTGCTCCTCCTTTAATATATGTAACATCCAAGTACTGTAGTTAACAAGGTTCTCCAGATCTGGTTGCCAGCAACTTAATGCTCAGTCAGTATCTCCACAAAAACATCAATATTAAGATTTATCTAGCACAGCTTTGTCTTCCAATATCATCCAACCAGAAAGCCCAGAGAAGTTGACAAGAACATGATAATAAAGTTAACTTACCACCACCATCCTGTATAATCATTTATTGTGATGGAGGATGTGCTTACATTGGTCATTATATTATTCTGCCATCTCCCATCAGCCCTAGCCAGCGTGACCAGTTGACACACATGACAGACCACCAACATATGGAGGGCACCACATTAGCTATTCATACACTAGTGGAAGAGAACTGCAAGCAGACAACCCATATGTGAAAGGGTCAGAGGAATTACGAGGTGTAGAGATTGGACCAGGAGTCACATTGTTTAGCTGCCGTACTTGCTACTGTATCAAGCAATAAAATTTGTTGGTAAGATGTAGCTGTGTGAATATGTCTGTAAGATAACATGGAACCTTATCATGCGGAGCTACCATCTGCAAGCTCCAAATTGCAGCTCTCACTTCCACCCCCACCTGGCATTTGATTTGTACCTATGATGGAAATATTTAAGAAAAGTGAATACATTTTTATTTGGGCATTTGGATCCCAAAGGATTTTTTTCTATGTGTATGGTTCTAGAATACGTTATAAACACTGCTGAATATTGAATGTTATTGTATTTGTTGGTTTTAAAATGACGTTTTACTTATCTTCTAAGTCGCTCTGTGCACTATATTGGAGAAAGGGTCTAATGGAAACATTTAAAAATTATATAAAAAATAATATCATACTGGATAAGTCAGATAAGGTACACTAATGAATCGTTCATGCTAGCCCCATGTACTAGAGTATATTGTTCCTGTTTCCAGCTGGCAAACTGTTAGAGAGGCTTAAGCACATAGCTGTCAACTTTTCCCTTTTCTTGCAAGGAATCCTATTCGAAATAAGGGAATTTCCCTTTTAAAAAGGGAAAAGTTGACAGCTATGCTTAAGCTCTGGCGGTACTTCAGAAGGAATAATGACATGACACTGTACCAGTTCAGGGTGAACAGGTGCAAGACCAAGAAGTCATTTTCAGCTTGACAGTCAGCCTAGAGAAGCCCAAGATCTTTGTGGGCTGGAATATAAAAATCCATCTGTGACAACTGAGGGAAACTTACAGTCAGGGAAGAAGCAATAAACAGCATCCAAGCACAGTCATAAAAAAGTGCTGAGTAAATAGGAAGTCTCTGAGTGGATTTAGCACAACCATTAGACAGATTGCCACTCCGGTTCCATGTAACAATGCTGCTGAAGATTTGAAACAAGAACCTACACCCCCAGCCTATGTATTAGGCATACATTGTTGGCTTAAGGACCATGAGAAGGGAGGGAATATTTGAGTGCAGCTTGTCTTTCCCTTCACTATCAGAGAACCCAACACCAGGTCCTTCCCTTCAGTTAGGTTAAACCTATTAATTTTGACCAGGCCAATCGTCCATAAACTTTGGGGACCTTGGGTCTTGGGAAAGGGCAAGGCCAGAATAAAGCTGATCATCCCAAATGCTGCTAAATGAATAGAATGTTGTGGTTGTTTAGTCGTGTCTGACTCTTCATGACCCCATGGACCAGAGCATGCCAGACACTCCTGTCTTCCACTGCCTCCCGCAGTTTGGTCAGACTCATGTTTGTAGCTTCGAGAACACTGTCCAACCATCTCGTCCTCTGTCGGCCCCTTCTCCTTGTGCCCTCAATCTTTCCCAACATCAGGGTCTTTTCCAGGGAGTCTTCTCTTCTCATGAGGTGGCCAAAGTATTGGAGCCTCAGCTTCACGATCTGTCCTTCCAGTGAGCACTCAGGGCTCAGTAAATAACAAGAATTGCACAATACTACCTGAGCATACTCAGCTGCCTTCAGGAGCCACAAAAATATTGAGATCCAATTGGAGAAGAGAGGTAAAAATGTGTCCCTTGCAGCTTACAGAATCCTGGAGGGCACGGCTGACTTGTTGGAAGAGGAGAATACCTGTTAGAATAAGGATACATTACAAAATTTAGTTACAGGTCCCACTTGCCAGTGCCTTAAGTCTACTTCTTTATTTTGAAGAGCCCATTCATCTCAGCCAGTTGATGCAAATCACAAACTTTAACTACTGACTGTAACAGTCCGTAACTCTTTCTAGTGTAGCAGTAAAAATGCAGTCAAGTTTGGTTGCTGTCAATTTTCGTAGACTGAGTATTTGGGGACTTTTGTCTCAGTAGAGAACGCTTGAGTTAATAAATTGGTTCTTTTAACTGCCCATCAGCTTGCTATATCTTCACTTACTATAATGCCAGTTTTTGCCTTCTAGGCTAGTGTTGATTAGAATATTTCCCATGTCTGATCTGTTTTAAGGTGACACAGTCAGAATGACCAGCATTTTAAATGAGAAGGCAGTGCAGTGATAAGACTTGGGAAACCAGGCTTTAAATTTCCACTCAGCTGTGAAGCTCACCAAGTGACCCTGGGCCACTTACAGCGTCACAGCATAACCTACCTTACAGGGGTGTAGTTGAAATTAAATGAGATGGGGATGGGAACCATGTATGCAACCTTGGGTTGCTTGGAGAAAAGGTGTGATATAAATGCAAAAACAAACAACACATCTAACTGAGATAAAACTCTTCTGGTCATATAATTAATTTGCTCATACCTAACTTCCCCCCTCCCCCTCCCCTTCATTCAATGGGTGAATTTCCTACATGGCAGCTTAAGAGAGAAGTTACCTTACAGCAAAATGAAATAATTTCTTTCTTGTATCAATCAGTCAGTAAAGCTCTACTGCTGGGGAATTGTTCTTTAAAGCTTTGTATTTGGTAAAGAAAGTTGCAGAGAAATTGTTCAAATCATTGGGGTTAAGTCCGGGGGGCACAGAAAGGGTTGGCAGTGTAGTAAAAGCAAGGCACAATCTATAGTGCATGTGTATAACATCTGGAGGTTCTTGTGTTTGCACACAGTACACGTGCCTGGATTGCTGAGTACACATTTAATTGAGTAAACAAGTGGCCTTGCTTGCACATGAATGGATGTCTGGATTTATCCCTTGTACTCTGTACTGCACTTTAAGCTAGTGTAAGTTAAAAAGGTAAAGGGACCCCTGACAATTAAGTCGAGTCGTGAATGTCTCGGGTTGCGGCGCTCATCTCACTTTACAGGCCGAGGGAGCAGGTGTTTGTCTGCTTCCGCAGACAGTTTTTCCGGGTCATGTGGCCAGCATGACTAAGCTGCTTCTGGTGAAACCAGAGCAGCACACGGAAACGCCATTTTCCTTCCCACCTACCCCTATTCAAAACTTTTTGGGACATTAAAGCTTGATAGCCTACCCTTGTATTTAAGAAGTAGCCAAGTAGCCACATGTGATCAAGAATTCCACACAGGTGTGTAAGCAAGCTAGCAGAAGACAAATGAAGTGAACAATCTCTTTGTAACAAGCACAGAAATGCAATTCTAAATCCCTCCTTGTCAGCACTAAGCCAGGCTAGTAACTTCTCACAGCTTATTTACAAGGCTGTGTTAGATCTACAATTCATCTCAAAACTAAATCAATGCCTGCTGCTAAAGACATATAAAAGAGGCTTTGCTATGCAAATGAAAAACCAATCTGAACATTTCCTAAATAGGAATATTTACATGCCACCTACAAAACATAGGCATTTCATGTTTTACCTGATGAAAGTAAATTGCTGCAGTATGTCCAATAACAACCATCCCTGTTTTGAACTATTGGTCATGGGCACTTCATTTTGGTTTGCTACTATTTTTGTGAGAGTGGGACTGTATTAAATGAAGCAGAAGGAAACGCTTGAAGGAAGAATGGAAGATAGAATTTTGCAGTGCACGTGTTCCTGTATTCCCATACTTAGGCTTCAGACCTGTATATAAATGCTGGTTTTAAGTCCTATGGAATTTATTAGATGGGCTCTAGTGTGATAGTGACTGGGTGGGTTCTGTACCCTTCACTAACATTGTTCTCAATTATGTCAGCTACTTTGTGGAATAATCGGTGGTGGCAGATTTTTTTTTGGTGGGCTGTTGTTGTTTGCATAATGTGTTTGGGAAAAGAGGGATGTAGGTGATGCCACCACAATTTCACTGATCATGGGTAGAAGGAGATACATCCATGGTGAGGTGACAGGTTACCATGCAAGTTGGAGATGGGGCTATTTACTCTTTCTTTCTCACCCCATCTCTTCCAGTGTTGGGTTGCTGGTTACTCATCATCTGTGCCTGCTGTTTAATGCTAGATCAGTACAGAATAAAACCACATTTATCCATGATTTGATCATGGATGAGGTGGGTAGTTGAGTTGGGAAGAGTTGATCTTGTCCAGCTGTGCCCACCTGGATACTTGGTGCAGCATCAGCACAGGCTGCAGTATGGGAATGAGGAGCTGCTGTGTTCCATATAATGTCCATTTCCAGGAAAACCCTCAGTTTCAGAGCTGTTGGTGTATCATCCACCCTGCTGCCCAGTATCTTTTCTGACCGAGCTGGCAAAGATGGTCTTGCGTGCGATGTTAGAATAACCCAGAATTACAGTGCTGAGGCAGCCCCATGCCAACTATGGGTCTGTCTCAAGTTGGTCCAGCACACAGGGCAGAGGACACCCTAGTTTGCATTTTTGCTCCAGATGGAGGAAGGGATGGTCTGGGGATGGTGGATGCCACCCTGCTATCATAGTTAGATCACTTCATGGTAAACTTTGGACTTATAGCTCCAATCTTCCCACTCAGGATGGTGGACAGATTGAGATGATCTGTCTTGGGAGACTAATGGAGTCCAATGGATTCCTGAATGCTCTGGAGGAATTTCTCATAGATAGAGCAGGTGATCCTGTTGCAGCCCTTGTCATGCTGTGGAACACCAAGACTTGTTGGGCTCTTGACACAGTTGCCCCTAAGTATGCTCTCAGGCATTGTTGAACCCACCATGCACCTTAGTGAAACAGGCTGAATGATGGCTAGAGCACAAGTGGAGAAAGATGTGTTGTGAAGTCAGCCTAGCACAAGTGAAACAATGGGACCATGCCTACTGTGTGACTGTGAGAGTGACAAAGGTTTCCTATGAATAATTAGATACTGTGCTAATATAAGTGCTGCTAACTGTTGCCATTTGTGTACAGATGTACACATTTTCCACTTTAAGGGGGAGGGGGAAAATTATATGTACAACTGGTTCAATCCCTCATAGTGTAAAAAATGCTGTCCAGCTTCTGCTTTGTGTAGGTTGCAGGCTTACACACATCAACCTCTGAAACCTTTCCTTCTCCCATATGAATTGTCATGGTTTCCTTGTCATAACCATAACACAGCTATAACCCTGAATTGGATTTTTAACCATAATTGTTTGCAAACCTCCATTAAGGTTGATCCCAGCTAGTAATGCTGTACCAGGAAGATCAGTATCTTGAGTGCAGGTAGCTTAAATCTTGGTATGAACCTGACAGAACCCAGGTGGGACAGTACCATTGTGCCTTCCATGTGATGACCACAAAGAAAACTTATTTCTCTGCCACCATTGTGGCAGCAAGTAGCTGTCTGGTAGAGCTTTTCTGAGTGTTGAATGGGCCTTTGTCACCTGGCCAAGAGATCATTGTTCTTGCACCCTTGAGGTCTACAGTGACAACTTTGTGAGGCACGTTGTTTCCTATGCTATTTAACATCTATATGAAGCCACTGGAAGCTGTTGCCAGGAGATTTGGAGCAAGGTGTCATCAGTACAAAGGTGACACTCAGCCGTGTCTCTCTGTTCCATATGAATTAGGAGAAGCAGTTGAGGCACTTGGAGCTGATGATGAGCTGGATGTGGGTCAATAAATTGAAGCTGAATAGACAAGATATGTAATGTATTTAGGAGGTGGGGAGATGGCCTGTCCTGGATGGGGTTGCCCTCCCCTGGAAGGAACAGACTCATAGTTTGGGGGTTCTGCTGACCTGCAATAGGACATTCTCTGTGGCAGCCCCTAACATATAGAACTCCCTGTCTACAGAAGTGTGTCCAGCAACTTTAGTATATCGTTTTCAGTGACCTCTTTATTCTGGCTTTTGACACCAGAGATGCATATTTTTATGACACACCCTATTTTTGTGATTATATGTAGTTTCAACTGTTTATAATGTTGTGTTTATTATTGTTGTAACCCACCCTGGGACCTTAGGGTGAAGGGCAGGTGGTGGTGATGGTTGTGACCTTAGGGTGAAGGGCAGGTGGTTGTTATTGTTGTTGTTGTTGTTATTATTATTATTATTATTATTATTGAAAATTGCATTTGGTTAAAAGATTAGCAGTGCTTGGCAATGCTATACAGTATCTGCATCAGACCATAAAAAAAATTTTTTTTTAACCTTGGACCTTCAGGAGTGTACTTTTCTTGAACAGTAATATTTGCTCCATATGTAGGCTTCATTATCAAGCCCTCGTGGGAAATATGCAATAATAATAGTTTTAAATCCAGATGGGCCTGGTTCACATAGGCTGTAGTCATATCATGTGATGAATTGCATGTGTGACTGAGCCCATCTTGGATTATTCACTGCAGCGTTTTCATCTTGCTCAGTGTCAGTTCACAGTCATTCTACTTTTCAATGGGAACATTCCAAACATTTGGCTGAGAGCCACATTTTGTGTGAGGTGATATAGATATTTTTGTCCCTGAGGTTTGATCAGTTTTGGCTCATTCTATTTGCAATTCTCATTTCCAGTGGACATTTATCTGCATAATTCTTAATGGAGCAACGCTCTAAAATCAGATTGTTCATTTGTGGCAGAATCTTTAGCTTACAACTGAAAACACGCTGTCACCTAGAAAATTAACTAATATAACAAATATTCAAATATATTAATGTGATGAGTTTAATCACGATGCAAAACTCTGTAAAATCACTACCTTCCTCATTGTTGCAGCAGGTTTGGGGGTTGTTTGTGTTGTTATAGTTGTTGTTGGGGTTTTTTAAGCTCTGCATGATTAAAGTGAGGGAGTACCTTATGTACGTAATTTTATTTAGCAAGCTGCAAAATATAAATTCTAACTCATTATAATATTGTTCTGCCTTAGCTGTTACAGTTTAAACTTCCTGTCAAGAAATAGCTAGGTCAACCTCTGGGTGACCTGTCTTGTTTAGCTTTGGGCTAGAGCTCCACCAAGTGATCTTCCAGCATGATACATTTTTTTTAAGTAAGCTGATTGTGTTTTAGCATCACTTAGTGGCAGTATGAATTTTAACCTTTTATTCCTGCCAGGAAATTACATTTCAAGACTTTGGTGTAAAATTAAAAGAATATAGTGTTCAGTTGCGTTTGATAATATTTAAGTTTGATTAATTGGATTTAAAGCTTAGACAGCTGAAATGCTTGTATATGGTCTTCAATTTTGTCATTTGTTTTCAACTTGAAACCTCGCAAGAGGCACTTGACTCATCTGGTAATTAGCTATTGCTTACAGTATTTTAAACATGTTAAAAACCACAGTCAGGAATTGGACAAGCGTGTCACCACTGATAGCAGGTTGGCTACCATAGTTGCAGTTAATGAAAATGCATTGCTGTGTCTTTGGTGAACAAGCATTTTGCTTAATACAGTGGTAATGTGTACTGTGCAACTGCAAAGTAATTCCCAGTGTGTAGCATACAGCCCCAGTCCATTCCACTTGCTACTTTGAATTGCTGTGAGAGACTGACCCTATCGGTAAATTGAAAGATTCTCAATGGCTTAAGATCTGGTCCACTTGCCACCTTTAGGTCTCTGTCTACCAACATTAAGGAGAATTCTTTTTTAAAATCTGGGGATGCTTTTGAGGTAAGAAATGCAGAGTAGAAATATTCTCAAATAATAGGGATTGTTAGGGATGTGATGGAACATAAAATGGCCAGTATTGTATTTCCATTATATAAACCTATGGTATAGCCCAGTGGTGGCGAACCTATGGCACATGTGCCAGAGGGGGCACTCAGAGCCCTCTCTGTGGGCATGTGCGCCATCGTCCCAGCACAGAGCCGGCAGAAGGTGAGGGCAGTGCGTTGAGTTGTCAAGTGAGTAGAAGCACCTCGGATGGGGCCCCAGGGTATGTGCGCGCAAAACGGAGCTATAACCTCCAGGGCACGCGGTTTCCCTTGGGGAGCCTCCGCTGGGGGGCGGGGCGCAGCTCTGTGCACATGCTCAGAAGTGAGCTGACGTGTTAGTGGGCTGCAGAGAGTTCCGAGCAGCCGCCTTTCTCCTGCTGCTGTGAGGTTGAGGCTTTACATACCCTCTGGCCAGGGCCAATAGGAGCGGAGTCAGAAGCGGAGTGGATGCTTCGTGCTCCCCAGCTGAGCTGCCTGCTCCCACTCCTACTTGTGTGCAAGCAGGAGCAGGGTGGAGATCTCTCAGCTGGGAAGCATGAAGCCTCCACTTCTGAGAGATCCCCTAGGAGCAGGAGCAGGAGCGGGCAGCTCAGCTGAGGAGCACCTGGCTGCCTTCAGGGGCTGCCTTCAGGGGCTCTCAGGTGCAGCTTCCGGGCTGCCCCCACCGTCCCCAACCTCATCAACTATTCAGGTTGGCTGCCTTCACAGGGTTGCAGGGGATCTGATTCATAGGTGGGGGCTCCTTTAAACTTCTCCCTTGAGGGGAGTGCAGCCGCGGACTCCTCAATGGAAAGTGTGACGTAGCCTGCACCTCCCCAGCTGAGCAGCCCCGATCCAGCTCAGAGCAGCCCGATCCCACTCCTACTTGCCTGCTCACTTGCTGCCCCAGCCCAGCCTTCCCTCACTCAGCGCCTCCAGAGCTGGAAGAGGGGGTGGTTGCTGTTGTGGCTGCGATGGCGGAGGGACGACGTGCTGGAGGGCAGCAGGTGCCTGCTCGCTTGCCGCCCAGCCCACCTTTCCTCATTCTGAAAACGGAAGTGTGGCACTCAAAATGGAAGTTATACTCAGAACAGAGCACGTTCTACTTCTGAAAAAAGTTCAAAAACCAGAACACTCATTTCCGGGTTTGAAGTGTTCGGGTTCCAAGTAGTTCGAGAACTAAGCCGTTCAAAAACTGAGATACCACTTTATTACTCCACTGTGTCTCCACATGGATGTGCCAACTTCCCCTTCTAAACTAAAACCTCAGTATTCAGGTTAAATTGCATTGTTGGCGCTTTGCGATAAATAAGTGGGTTTTGGGTTGCAGTTTGGGCACTCGGTGTCTGAAAGGTTCTCCATCACTGATATAGCCACATTTGGAATTCTCTGTATAGTTCTGATCATCTGCCTATAATAAGGTACTACAGAGCTGGAAAAGTCTGGGAAAAGGTAAACCAAAATGTTCAAGAGATTCAATGTTCAAGTAGAAATTTTCTCAAATAATAGGGATTGTTAGGAATGTGATTGAACATAAAATGGCCAGTATCACATTGCCATTATATAAATCTATTTTATAGCCACATTTGAAATTCTCTGTATGGTTCTGATCATTCTGCCTGTAACAAGGTATTACAGAGCTGGAAAAGACTGGGAAAAGGTAAACCAAAATGTTCTAGGGATTGGAGTACCTTCATAGGAGTGAAATGATTGATACGTATAAAGTATGAATGGTGTTGAGAAACTGGATGAGTGAGATAATTTTCTCTCTCATAATACAGAATTCAGGGCTACTTGTTGAAATGCATAAACATTATTAAACTTGGGGGAAACAGAAGAAAGTTCTCCTCTAAGGGCACAGTTAATCTGAAATTTGCTACTACAAGATGTAATAACTTACATGGACTTCTTACATGATCTTAAAGGGAGACTAGACAAATTTGTAGGTCTCTCACTGACTGTTAACTATGAGAGAACTAAATGGAACTTTCATGTTGGAATATGATTTTCTCCTTAAAAGCTATTGTTTGTGGGGAAAACGGTAGGGAAGATTGCAGTTTGCCTTCTCTGTTTCTTGAAGTATCTCGTTGATTTTTTATGAAAACGGGATGCTAGATCCAGTGAACCTTTGATCTGTTCTGTTCTCGAAGGCATTTATATTCCCAGGAGCACAGTGAGAGAATTCTGAGATTGATATTTCACGTGCTATATACTAATCCCAAGTATATCTTGCTTCTTGAAAAAAAGTTAAAACTTTTATTTATTTTATCTTTGGGGGCTATTTTTAAAGAAGCAACAATATATATTTGATGAGAGCAACTAAAACCACAAGCTGCTATGTAAATTGAGTTAACCTTTTGTTTGTTTTTTAACAGGTATAGGCTACTGCAACAAGAGAATAAAGTGATAAACAATTACTTTTGCAAACTACAGCTGCTTTTTGAATGCATTTTTAATACAGTAGTGCTCCAGAAGATGATAAAGAAATGATAGCAGCTCAAGAAGCAACAACTAATTTTGCTCTGCTTCAGTAAGTACCTTAAAATAGCAATGTTAAATGATAAACCCACAAAGCATCTTCCTTCCCCCCTCAACAGCAGTGATATATACTATTATATATATGCCTTAAAATTATGGCTTATATTAAGTCAGTAGTCCTAGCATCATTTCATCATCAAAGAATTATGTGATGTTACTTAAAAAGATTGCTTGAACAATTTAGCCACTATCAAAGGGTACCTGCCATAAATATTTGTCTTGTGACTTCTTCAGATGTAATGGCTTTTTAAACCATATAAGTTCAATGATCAAGGAGGTGTTGGAGGTGTTTCTTGCAGATTTGGGGTAGTGTATGTCAGGTGTCTTCCACCTTTTCAGACCCAAGACCCACTTTCTTAATCTTTTAGCATATATTCACATGAAGGTAGTGCTGTTGTTGCAACTCACCTTGGATCAAGCTGCAACCCACTAGTGATTCCAGACCCACTAGTGGAAGACCAGTGGTGTAGGTAATGAACTACTTCACAACTGGCTCAAACAGGGTTGCTGAGTGTTCTCTTTTTAAGATACTAAAAAAGTATTACTTGCTAAGGATGAGCAAAGAAATGAGTGTTACTCTGACTGCATTGTTTTCCCCCTTTAAATCGTGTGCTGTCTAAATTTTATTTGTTCACCTGATGTTAATTGCGCACAGTCTGTTGGTTTGCTGCTTCCTGCAAATCATGCTGGTAGTTTATTCAAAGTTATGCCCATTGAGCTTAGTAGGGTTTACACTCTAGTAAGTTTATTTTGAGTTGCAGCTTACGTGAAGTATCTGCTTGCATCAGGAAGATAAACTGATATGGATGCATGCAAATTTCATTGTTATGTATGCAGTATTCCTGTCACAATTTAAATTTTTCAGATGATGGGTAGGAAATATTCTTTATCCACATATGAACTCAAGGTTTCCTAGCTTCTGCTCTCATCCTTCCACCTCTCTGAATTGGCATGGTGTGTATCATATGCTGAGACCACTCCTGTACTGTCATGGACTGGCTCGCTTCTGACATGTACCTTCCTGTTCGTATTGAAACCTGTTCATATTGAAACCCTGTTCATCCAGGGCAAACTATTTTGCATCCAGGTAATAGACATGGTAAATAAAATACTTTCAAAATAAAGGCATACTTACCAAGAATATAAAATATGTCTTTTTAGGGAGTCTGAAACACATTTTTCTTCAGATACTGACTTTGAAGATATTGAAGGAAAAAATCAGAAACCAGGAAAAGGAAAGGTATGTGTATCTGGCATTCTCAGTCATATAGACTGGTGGCAATGTAATAAAGCTGGTTTATATTTTATATAATTTTTGAATGAAATTTTATCCACGCACTTTTATCCATGACTTAAGTGCTTGTTTGAATCTGAATAATGTTGGTGTAATAGTGTGTGGGGAGGTTGCAGATTTCTCTTCAAGTTGAAGCTGTTCTTCTCATGGAATGTGTTCCAGAGTGTTCACACATCTTTGGGGGCAGGTTTACCAGGGATAGGTTGCTACTAGAATGGGCAGGCCAGAAAGTCACTGTGTACATGCAACCCTTTATATCCTGGTCTTTGTGTTGAAAACTTTTGTTTCAGCAAATATAAACTGGCAGAACACAACGGGTGCTAATAGTGGTTTATAGTAAATAAAGATTCCAAAATCTTAAACCTCTGGTAACACATAATAATGCCTGAAATAGTTCAATTATACTTTTACTAATAAATAGATTTGCTTTTGATATTTATACAGACCTGTAAAAAGGGGAAAAAAGGTACAGGAGAGAAGGGGAAAGTTGGAAACGGAGCAGGGAAACCTGGTGGTCCAAATCGAATGAATGGGCATCACCAGCAGAATGGTGTGGAAAACATGATGCTGTTTGAAGTTGTTAAAATGGGCAAGAGTGCTATGCAGGTAAGTCTTTTTAGGGGGTCTTAAAGTGAATATTCAAGCAGTGTAAAGAAAGCACTCTATAAAATTGAAACTGTCTAAAGAGTTGGGCTCTTATGCACATCCTTGATGTTATATTTTAAAACATAAATTTTTTAACAGCGAGACAACTATGGGGAGGGGGAGAGATACTAGCATTATTCTCTTTGTTTTTGTTTGTTTGTTTGTCTAACCGTTGGAATGAACCCCTGGAAAGTTGTCCAAACTCAAATCTGTCCCTCAGTTCCCCACTCTGGCTATAACCTGAGCATGACCTCATGAAGAAATTAATAAAAGAACATATAATCATATTGGCTATGTTTGAACATAAACTAAATAATGTTTTAGCATTTTAAGTTCCAGTAAAGCCCTGGGCTCATAAAATCCTTTCTCCTTCTCCTCTGGTGCAGCTATGAGGAGGAAGGCAGAAATTTCTATTGAACAATATTAACAGCAGTTTAACACATGTGCGATTTTTGACCTTGAAGGCAACTTGATAAAACTTGCTTGTTACAGCAAACCATAGTTAAGGCTGACCACAGTTTGCCCAAATATTGATAACAAGACATGCTGTTATTAAGTGAAACTTCCAAAGTTCTCCTTCAGAGGGGGAGAACATAATCCCAAGACTCTGTGCGCCAGCAGTGGTTTAGTCATGCTGGCCACATGACCCTGAAAGCTGTCTGTGGACAAATGCCAGCTCCGTTGGCCTGAAAGCGAGATGAGCACCACACCCCATAGTTGCCTTTGACTGGACTTCATTGTCCAGGGGTCCTTTAACTTTACCTATTCAGAAATTAATTTATGAAGCTAATTCTACCAGTATTGGCAGAATGACGTACTTTCTAAATTACAAATCTTAAGAGTTAGTGTGCATTATTAGTGCAGGTTTATTTAATACTTCTAAACTATTTTGGTTAATGGAATCATTTGTTTGTATCTAGATACAAACATAAAAATAGTTTGATCCAAAGGTACCCTTCTGCTCATAGGGGGCAGCATCTGAGTTGAAAGGCACCTTTGGATTAAAATCAGTGTACCTAACTCTTTTGTCTCATTGTCATCAATCTGCAAGCTATAGTTTTAACTGAGAACTGTCTTGCTTGATTAAAACATTTTACCTCTTTCTCCAGTAGAAGCTGCTTACAAGCAAAATACTTTGTTCACAACAATTTAGACTTCTCTGTTTCACATAACTGGAGCAGGGCTGGCAGAGGGGAAGGAGAAGGGAAAGTTGTTTTGTGTGAGCAGAAGAACATTCTGCTAGTGAATGCATATAGCCTAATACTTTGAGAAATGAAAGAAAGTAAAGAAATAAGCAACTTAGTTTGCTGTTTAGAAGAACTGGTTCAGGGAACTTTATGAGCTTATTACAATTTTTTGATTGGTGGCTTTTTTGGGGTGGGTGGGAGCTGCATCTTGAAAAGGTAGTTACAGTGTATTTAATGGTGGCTTTATTTATTTTTCCCTAGTCTGTGGTAGATGACTGGATAGAATCCTACAAACATGACAGGGATATAGCACTTCTTGATCTCATCAACTTCTTTATTCAATGTTCAGGCTGTAAAGGTAAGAAGTGTATTTGGAAGTAGTGTTTACTTCCTTACAGACTTAAAAAAAAATTCGAATCCCACCCTTTTTTCAATTAACTATTCAACTTAAATGTGGGGGCTTGGCTTGCAAATGCCTTCCACCACTCTCTCTCTTAAGCACAGCTGGCTAGACATGTTTCCATTAGACTTGCCTGTCACAGAGTAGCTCAGTTCAGACATGATGCCCAAGTATGGCTAAGGAAGCACAACTATGGTTTGTCATGGCATCTGAATTTATAACCTGAGTTTTGTTACCAGCCAGCAAATCAGAACTGGAAATCACTGTTTGAAGTAGGCTTGCAAACGATGGCTTGAGTTGATAGGATGTCTAAATTTCACAACTCAATGGTCACGTAGAGAGGAAACAATGTATTCACTCGAATGGGTTAGCTGCCTCTTCTTTAAAGATTTGAGAAATCTTCTTCAATAAACACTTAAAAAAACAAACATTGCAGTGAGTAAGGAGGTAGAAGAAATAGCATAGTTTGCAGTATTTTCAGTTCTTGTTGTTGGAGAGCAAGACTCGGTTCAGATGTCACTTTCTCAGTCTAATAAACTATGTTTTATTAGCTTGAGAACAAGCCCTGTACCATAAGGAAATAAAGGACTACATAACTTTTAAAAGGCATCTGTAGGCAGCCCTATATCAGGAAGTTTTTAATGTTTGATATTTTACTATGTTTTATATGTGCTGCAAGCCGCCCAGGGTGGCTGGGGAATAAATAAAATTATTATTGTTATTATTATTATTATCTCTCTCCTCCTCCTCGGTTCTCTTGCTTGTAAAAATTGAAGACATTGTGGATTGATCTTAGGCTGCCAACTAGGATTTCATGTGTTTGTGAATCATAATATTTCAGGATTAATTTATTAACAATATTTCTGTAGTGGCTTGCCAGAGATTGAGGTGGCATACAATATAGCATATAAGATGTTTTAGAAAATTCTAACAGCCAACTGTATAAAAACTTGCATGTTAGCAGCTTATAAAGCAGGCCTTGCCTGAATTTGTAATTGTTTGTATACACAAACAGTGCTTATTGTCCAAACATTAAATGACATTTCAGTTTAGTATGTTCCTGCATAACGTTTTTCCCCCCACAGAAGTTAAGGTCTGTGATACTGTATGATGTGATTTTAAATCACTATTTGTTACTTGTAGGGGTTGTAACAGCAGAGATGTTTCGACATATGCAAAACTCAGAAATTATTCGGAAAATGACTGAAGAATTTGATGAGGTAAATTTTAGACATATTTCTAGAAAATTTGTCATGCATTTATGAAATGAACTCTCATTTCGCAGGATATAAATGTTTGATGTTATACATTGCATAACAAAGGATAGTGGTAGGGTGGAAAGTTAATAAGTAAAAGCAGTGGAAATGAACTTACAGTTAAAACATGCAGATAATAATGATGGCATCTCTTTTGAAGGAATGTTTTAAGCAGTGCTAGAAACTCAGATATGTAAGCTAGCCACCAAATGGCACTTTAAACCTAAGTTACGATCACCACAGTGGAATGTTTGAGTCTCCATTGGAATAAAAATCACCTCAAAAAATAAACAGCCTCACTGATTTTTAAAGGATTGGAATTCAGCATCACACTAAGGCAATCATTCTGTCAGGGCAAGCCTTTTGACTTGTCGGATGGAACAGTCCCCTCTCTTTTGCCCCTGAGCGCTGTGGTGGTGGCTACTCCAATCCCCCCAAGCCAGTTTGGGGGGTGGCTTGTGGAGGAAGGGAATAAAGCCCCATTACAGAAGCAGAAATCCTTTATTTCACTTATTGTATTTATATCGCACATTTATTTTCCAAGGAGCTCAAAGTAGTGTACATGGTTCTCCTCATCTCCATTTCATCCTCACAACAACCCTGTGAGGTAGGGTATGCTAAGAGATGGTGACTGGTCCAAAGTCACCCAATGAGCTTCATGGATGAGTGAGGATTCAAACCCTGGTCTCCCAGGTTATAGTCCAACACACTGACTCTGCAGGGCTTCCATTGACAGGGCTCTTTAATGGATTCCCACCCAAAGTTGGCACTGGGTGATAAATAAACTAAGGTCTTAACCCCACTTCTCTGGGGTGTAAGGCTGAAAATTCTATATGTACACCTATCTGGAAGTAAGTCCCATTGAATTCACTGGAGATTATTTCTGAATAAACTTTCATATGATTGCATTACAAAACTATAACACTAAGCAAAAGTGGTGGGAACCAGGTCTACTGAGTATTCTTGGAACTGGAATGATAAAAATGAATGTGAGTACTTAGAGGAGACCTTGAGCATTGGTATATGCATTTTGTGAAAAAGAAATGTAGGTCCTGTGCCATGAAGGCACAAAACGTCATGATATGGTTTAAGTCCACAAATAACTATATATTAACTATCATTTTTATAACCATTTTCCTTTTCAAAATTTTCCTGTGCTTCTAAATGGCTGATTAGCACAACCATTTTTAACGTTGCTCAAGCCATCTTTCAAAGACTTTCCAGAAAGTAGCAAGCCACACCATGTGAGTTAAGAGGCATTCATAAGGTTGATGGCCTTGTCTGAATTCCACCCACCCCACTTCAGTGTGAAGTACTGTTGTGTCAATTGGACCTAAAAGAAAGGATAGCAGTAATAACAGTAGAAGAGAGCCAAAGGAGATATATATATACACACACACACACACGTATCACCAAGTAGATGGTTGTGAGTTGCGAAATGTGACTGGCGACCAGTGAATTTTGAACACTGGTTTTCAGGATAGGGTGAGGGACCTCTGGCCCAGAGGCTGAATATGACCCTCCAGGCCTCTATTGGGCCCTCAAGATTTTCTCTGTGCCACACCTGTCTCTGCTCTATGTCCTCCTTGAGTGCATAATGCCTGTTGTGTGTGGAAGTGTTTGTGTATGTAATCCTCTGCCTGGCTTTTGCATGTCTGGAATGTAGCCTACTGTACAAAAGTAAGAATCATGTGTGGCTCCGCCCACATGTCCCTGGCCCCACTCACCACGGGCATGTAATCCACAGAGGGCTGCCCATGTGAGCCTACAGCTTTTAAGCTAAAGAAGCTTCTCCACCCCTGTTTTAAGGGGAGCGATGAAATACCAAGCATGAATAGAGATAGGTGTCCCAAAGAAGTTATTGGAAGCAAGACATTTAAAAAGAATATACATTTCCAATGTTAAATAATGGCTTGTAACAGTAATGAAGAAAACAATGGACAGTGGAGTTTTGAGAATTTTTGCATGGGATAAATTAAAAGATATTAACCCAGGGCACTGTTAAACAGCCATATTCATATTATTGGCATTGTTAGATTTAATATTATATTTAAGTTTAGAAACAATATGATATGTCATAAAGACGTGGAATATTTGATAAGTATTACATATGTATGTACATGCTCCTACACAAATATCATTCTACTGTTTAAACCTTGAAATACTGTTTCAATATGTTTTTTTCAAGACTGCTTCCAACTATTCATCTAAAAGGGTTTAGCTGTATTTCTTAGCACAATGGTAATAAACTGCACAAGAGCCATACATATTCTGCTCTGAAGAGGTTATCAGTTTATGCCTTAATAAGGGAGCTCCTCTCCAAAAGTGTGTATTTTCAAGAGCTAAAAAGGACAGTTGACTTCAACAGTAAACTGGATATCTTACAGATTGCTTATCATTGGTTTCTTTTGAAATCACTGCGTTGTTTTGAAAACTGCTTGTTGGCATCTCAGTTTATGTAGTTTTCTTAAAATAACTTCTTTCCCCAAGGCTATTCCAGAGTGATTATTATTATTCTTGCATGTTCAAATGCACCTGCTGCCTTGGAGAGTTTTGGTTCTGCAAAAAATTGTTATGTTTTTGTGGTGAGCAGAAATCTTGGTTCCACTTTGGAAAGCAAAACAAAACTTAGAATATCTTATGTACTAAAGAAAACAATGATAATTCTTTTTGTGAGGAGCATTTCTTGGGTCTTGAAGAATGCTGACATTTACAGCATTTACTTCTGCTGTTTTAGTTTCTCAAGTCGTCTTATAGTTTAACAAACAATAATATGAAATATCATTAACATATATTTGTTTCCTATTCTAGGATAGTGGAGATTATCCACTTACCATGGCTGGTCCTCAATGGAAGAAATTTAAGTCAAGCTTTTGTGAGTTTATTGGAGTATTGGTCCGGCAGTGTCAGTATAGTATCATATATGATGAATACATGATGGACACAGTCATTTCACTACTTACAGGACTATCAGACTCTCAAGTCAGGGCATTTCGACATACTAGCACACTGGCAGGTAAGCAGTCTTTATTAGGATAATTTTGTGTATTCTCTTTTTAAGTCTTAAAAGGCAGCCTGAATAATGATTTCTCCCATATTTTATTGAATTTGCGATGACTGGTTCAGAAATCTGCAGTAAGCCAAAGAGAAAAACATAGTTTGATAAAATAGATATCTATTTGCCTTCCTTTAAAGTGGGAATAATCACAGTAAAATAAAATATATTTTGGGCTATATCCAAAAACTGAGATCATCCTCACTGGACTCCCTCCTGTATTACTGAATGTTAGCATATGGATGCTTTGTTGTCTCTGCCTTCTGAAATAAAGCAGATGCAACTGGAAAAATGTCATTGAGAATATGGCTATGGTTGAGAATATCTGCCCTGCGTTCTGCCCCGGGAAAGCTTTTTGGTACCAGTCAAAGACATGGGATTTGATTGCTACCCATCCACAAAAAATAGGATAGAGTCTCTGAATAAAACATATGTAATGAAAAGCATTTTTGAAAAGTTTGGGGTTATTTCAAATGGTTATGGAATAAGATACTATACGGTTGTAGAAAATATATTCCTGTTGTTATAGAAATGAAGACATTTCTTATTTATGCTAGTTTTTGTTTTATAAACTTACATACAAATGCACACATACATTTCTATGTGTGCATGTGTTGATTGTAATTTAATTTAGAAAAATAAAATAAATTATTCATATGTTTGTACTGTAGTCATTCTAATGGGCCTGTTTCGATATCTCCTCCAATAAGAAAATAAAGATATAGAGGCAAATCAAGATAGTGGTTCATTAAGATCAATATTATCTAGGTTGCATGTAACCATCCTTTCCATTTCTGAATGAATCATTCAAATGGTGCATCCCTGTACAAGTCCACTAAGAAGTAAGTCCCCTTGAGTTCAGTGGGACTTATTGCCAAGTAAGTGTGTATAAGATTGCAGCCTTGTTTACATTGAGCAGTCTAATTTAAATGTACTATAGTGGTTTTGTCTCTGTGTCTCATTTGGCAGTCTTGATAATGTCTTTATTTATTTTTTAAAACACATGCACGTTAAGTGATTTTATCTTTCATACTTTTTAGCTATGAAACTGATGACTGCATTAGTGAATGTGGCATTAAATCTGAGCATTAACATGGACAATACACAACGACAGTATGAAGCAGAACGAAATAAAATAATTGTAAAACGAGCTAATGATAGACTGGAGCTCTTGCTACAAAAAAGGAAAGAGGTTAGAGCCTTTGTCAATTATTTTAATTTCTAAAGATTTTGATGCAAAATGAGGTGTGCTGTCAGTTGATTGTGAAATTTATCTTGCCATTGCTTAGTTACTGAAACATAAGAATAGCCTGCTAGATCAGGCCAATGAGCCATCTAGTCCAGAATCCTGCTCTCATAATGGCCAACCAGATGCCTGTGGAAAACCAGGGAGCAGAACATGAGTGCATGAGCACTCTCTTCTCCCACAGTTTCCAGCAACTGGTATTTGGAAGCATTGTTGCCTCCAACTTCGGAGGTAGAGCATAGAAATCATGGCTAGTAGCCATTGACACCCTCTTCTCCATGAATTTGTTTAATCTTTTAAAGTTTTAACACATCCAACACAACGACCAAGGCAGACAGTGTGCAAAAGATTCAAATAGAGTGGCATGCCCAAGGTCACCCAGTGACCACATGGGAGAGGTGGGCTCTCCATGCAGTTGTCTAATCCTCTGTTAAAGCTATCCAAGTTGGTGGCCATCACTGCCTCCTTAAAGAGTGAGTTCCATTGTTTGCCTATGTACTGTATGAAGAACAAGGCAAGGACCCTAAATCACCCCAATCATATAGTAAACCAGTATGCCAAGATAGGGTCTTCCATAACTGCTAAGCGTTTGAATAATATTATAAATAAATATGTAAATTCAGATCAAACCTGATTGTATCGAATTAATTAAGAAGTGTAAGCAATTGCGGAAAAAGCCTTTGTTAGGCCTGAATGATCCTTTCTAGCAAGAACCCTTCAATAAGTGAATCTCAGTAGCATATTTAAAGAGTGGGTTGACCTAATGTTAGAAGTTTTTGTTAATAATCACTTGTCAAAGCTACTAAGATTGCAGTGTGCCACACGTCAAAGGTGTTCATGATCTCTTCCTGGCTTGCAAGAGTTCATAATGTCTCTACGCGAAAGATAATAACACATCAATACAAAATACATGGAACTTATTGTACACTTTTGGAGAAGCATCTGGTTACTAGATTAATACTACTGAATCATTTATTTTCGGAATACTGTAAATCTGAAAGCTCAAGTGACAAACACCTTTTATAAATACTTTGGATTTCATTTAAAAATCAGCCCAATAAAATATTGAAGAGTTTGGTTGCACAGATCACAACTATAACAAAATAAGCACAGAAATAGATGAAGATCTTAAAAGGTGACAGACTCTTTCTCTGTATAGGCAAAATATCAGCTATTTCTATGATTATTCTATCCATGGGTGTAGGCTTGTTTCAAGGAAAGCTAACCAAGACAGCCCTTTAAAAGACTGTGTTGACTCCCACCAGCTGGATTTGTGCTGTGTGGAACATTATATACAATGGAGTTTCCTTTTTACCCCTTCTCCAAAAATTGAGTTTTTAGTCCAGTTTACTGTGGGTCCTCAAACTTTTCTGCTAGGTGGCACTGAGCATTAGTTTTTCTATGAAATTCTTACCTCCAGAATTTAGCTACTGTGTCATGAGTCTTCACAGGATTTGGATCCTAGCTGACAATGATCTTACTGTGCCTAAGGCACAATATAAATATAATAATAGCCTATCTGGCTGGGTTTCCCCAGCCACTCTGGGCGGCTTCCAATAAAATATTAAAATACAATAGTGCATCAAACATTAAAAGCTTCCCTAAACAGGGCTGCCTTCAGATGTCTTCTAGTATTGAAGTATTGAAATATTGAAGTACAATGGCTGTAGTTTTAATTTCAAAGTTCCTGTAGCATGAATAGTGTAAATAGTCAACATGCATGTCATCTGGGTACAAAGGATGGATGTAGAGGATATATTTCTTTTCCTATGCATTCTATCTTCTCCTTTTCTTTGGATAATCTCACTTTGGCTAAAGAACTATTGGGCAGAGTCAAAGTGACTCTTCTCCCAACATGTGCACCATACCTGAGAACAAGTGAAGGCCAAGGAAGCATTTCTTTCCAAACTGGGGAGCTGGGCTCAGAGAGCCTCTTAACTGAACTTAGTGCCATTTAATCTCCCTACATTGCTCTTAAGAGAGCTTCTGCTTTCTTTTATGGGATGGTGTCCAACATTGAATCACTTCCTTCCACTCTCTGGTCTTAGATGTCTCTAGATGGTTAGGTTCTCTGCAAAAGGTAAAAGGGAGTTGATTGAAAGCATGGTGGGGCAACAGTTCATCAATGCTCATAAATTGCTTTCTCTAAAAGAAACACTCCACCTTATCCCTAATTGTGTGCACTCTTGTAAGCATATCTTCAAGCTTCATTGTTTCATTAGTATAATTTTAAACTTTTACGGATATTTTATTCATGTTGCTATCCTACTGTATGGCATGTGGGGAACATTTGACCCTCTAGCTTTTGTTGCAGCTACAACTCTCATCAGCCCCAGGAAGCCTGGTGAATGGCAACTGTAATACAGCAACATCTAGAGGGCCAAAAGTTTCCCACACCAGTGTGGCATGCAGTAGTGTTCACACACTGAAAATGATTTGTTAATATGCAATTATTTAAACAAATTCATCTGTCCCGTAATCTTTTTTGAGAATTATTTCAGTTTTATAGACATGTATTGTGTCAGTATATCTCTTAAAACTACAGTTTCTTCATTTGGCACTTAATGTATTTTTCAGCTCCAAGAAAATCAGGATGAAATAGAGAATATGATGAATGCAATTTTTAAAGGTGTATTTGTTCATAGATACAGGTGAGTTCAGTTGCTCTGTGCTATAGAACGGGCTATGCTTTGCTTGTGATTATTTTATTTATCATATTTTACGTACTTTTCAATTCTCTTCCAGGGATGCAATAGCTGAAATAAGAGCAATCTGTATTGAAGAAATTGGGATTTGGATGAAAATGTATAGTGATGCCTTTCTCAATGACAGCTATTTAAAATATGTGGGATGGACAATGCATGACAAGGTAAGATGCTGTGTACCATTTGTCCATTTTCAAGGTTTTCAGAATTATTGAGAATAAAGCAGCAAAACTAAACAAAGTTAGTTTCAGTACAGGTTTTAAGCAAAATGGAGAAGTACAAAAGTTAAGTTATATGAATTACATTCCAAGAGGTCTTTGAGTCAAAAGCGTTTCACAAGTTGTTGGGTATTGCTTGGGACCAAAGTGCCTGCATGCACATGTTCATCAGGCTCTTTACAGTGTGCCTTGTCAGTAGTGGTGCCATAACCCTGGAATGCTTTTTAGGAAGGCTGTTGGTGTGTGGTAAGCCATAAACTATGGTTTATTGTGAATGAGCAGTATGCTAGCACACACTGTCAAATCGCTCCTGCTGCACTTCTCTCCTAGTGTGAGCAGGAACAATCAACCAGGAACCATAGTTTCTATCAATGTCTGACCCAGCACGTGGTTTTCTTTCTCTACAAACTACAATCTGTGAAACTAAGGCTCTTTCCCAATTTGTGGTTTGTTTGGGAAACACAAACTACAAGCTCTGGTTTGGATTATAGCTTGTTGCCCTCACTCGGGAACGAGAGCAGCTGGAGCAATTTGCCAGCATGCAGTAGCGTGCTGTTCATTCACAGTAAGCCATGTTTATGGATTACCATGTTAGAATGCAGCCAGTAGTTGTTTGGATCCCAGTCACAATCATAGTGAGGAAGATTATATTGTTTTTGGGAATATTGCCTGTTTGATCAGGAGAGTGCTTGGTTATTAATATGACAGCAACAAACCAAGAACAGTAAAGACCTGCAGCATTTAACTTTGATTTAGAATAGATGTAGAGCTGTTCAATCAATGAATGCAGCATGTCATGTTGAAAAATGATATTTAAAGCCTCCATGTGTTTGATTTTTTCTTAGCAAGGGGAGGTAAGACTCAAATGTCTTACAGCTTTGCAAGGGCTTTATTATAATAAAGAACTGAATTCCAAATTGGAGCTCTTCACCAGTCGATTCAAGGTTCGTATTTTTACTCTTTCATTTAAGCTAGCATTTTCTCTCTCTTTCATTTAAGCTAGCATTCCAGACTTTCCATTTTTAACACTTGTCATTTTAAAACTTTGTTTCCCCCCCCCATCAGGATAGAATTGTGTCTATGACTCTAGACAAAGAATATGATGTGGCAGTGCAAGCAATAAAACTACTTACTCTTGTTTTACAGTAAGTATTTCAGGCCAGTGTGTAATATAAACATGTGGAGTTAATTTGTACATTTTGTTTACGTGCACTTTGACAAAGCTTTGAACGTAGAATATCTGTTTTGCAGTGTCACTTTTATTAGGTTGCTTATGGGGTGGAAAGATCTTTTTGGGGGGGGGGGGTTCAGTTTTTATCATGCTGGGATACTCTGAGCAGGTTTTTAAGTAGTTCTCAACAGCCATTTGTGCCAGAAAATGTCATGATTCCTTGATATATTTGTTTAAGAGCCCAAATTCTTTGGTGGGTTTTTTGTTCATGTCCACAGTGAGCAGCAGGGCAGCCTAAACTGACTTAGTGAGGTCACCTGTTCTGCTGTGGTAATTTTAAAAGTCCACTGATTTCATGGAAGTTATTTGTAGGTGGTGTAAGAATTCCTACAGCATCTTCACCCAGTTTCCAAGCAGCTGCAGCTATCAACTACTTAGCAATCAACCGGATTCACCCTGTCTCCATTATATCATTTTATTGCCAATTACATTTCATTATACTTGAATAAAAATGTCTGAGAGAATTTGGCCCATTTCCCACAGTGCAAATAATATTACATATAAAACTGCTGTAGTACTTGACCAGCCCTCCATTCATAACCAATTCTGGTAGCTATGGGACATGTCAACTGTTGGCGGCAAAGATAACTTAGCTGTCAGCATTTACCTCAGATCACTTACCGTTTTTTTATACAGCTGTTCACAAATTTAACAAGCAGCTAATGAAACTCAGTAAAATGAAACTAGTTATGCAACCCCTGAGCGGTTGGTGTACATGGCTTTGGACTGCAATACCTCATGGACCACCTCCCCCCATATGAACCAGTTGACCTTGCAGTCATCATCTGGGGCCTTCTTTGTGTGCCTTCTCTGTGAGCGGTCTGGAGGCCAGCAAAACCATAATGGATTTTCTGGGTTGGCTCCCTGCTTGTGGAATGCTCTCCCCCGAGATGCTCACCTGACACCTTTGATCCATAACTTTAGGCACCAAGGAAAAACATTCCTCTTCTACCAGTCCTTTGGCTAATTAAACTATCTATGGCCTTTTAAACTGTGGGGTGCATGCATAGTGTTTTCATTTGTTACTGTGATAAGTGTTTTTGTGCTTTTATATTGTAAACCTAGCTCTGTTGGCTTTGTGGTTATTGTTTCTGTACTTTTATTTTTGTCTACATCGAAATATTAGTCACTTTGCTCTTTTTTTTATTTTAATGTTAACATCAACTTTGAATCTCTTCGTTCTTCCTTAAGATTTTGGGATATATATATTTTATTTTCATTTCTAGGAGTAGTGAAGAAGTCCTGACTGCAGAAGACTGTGAAAATGTCTACCACCTGGTTTACTCTGCCCATCGTCCAGTAGCTGTAGCAGCAGGAGAATTTCTTTATAAAAAGTAAGGCAGGATAATGTTTTTCTATAAGTACCACTTATGAAATGGTTAATGTTTTCTGTAATTAGCATACTATGGATATGTTTTAAACAAAGTCTCTCCTCATGAGGGAAGCAATAATTGAATGCAGTATATAGTTGCTTCAGACTGTAGGAAGTTACACACACAAATATCACAACTAAGTTTTATTTCTCTAGTTCCACCTGAGCAGGAAATCTCAGTACTGTGCTATATACAGGCCTATGTCAGAGTCAGTTCCAACCAAATGGGGCTTGATAATGTTAAAGGGGCTAAAGTTTGTTTCTGGACCCCATTTGAAGTGCTCGTTTTGACCTTTAAACGTCTCATACAGTTTAGGGAAAGTATGCCTGCTCACACTCTGTGGACATCTTGTGCCTTTCACTGCATGCCACAGCTCTAGTAAATGGACAGCCTGAAAATCCTGGTGGTTTTTGTATTTATGGTTCAGTTCAGTTAATGACTTAAGGTCTTTTGGTGTGATATCTGACTTGATAAATAACAATTTATGGTTGATTAGCAAATTGGATGATCATAAACCAGGATTTGCAAAATAATTTCCACTAACTATGGTTAGTGGAGTGCAGGAGGTATTATGCAGACTTAAGATGAGTATAGTTTTATGGAATTCAAAGCATAATACAATAAAATACAATGTGTAATAAACAAAAGAAGCAATTTGGGCATCATTTGGGGGAAAGGGTTGTTTCCATTTCTGATCTGGAGCCAGTGTTCTACTTGGAAGTAAATTCCAGCAGTTCAGTGGGGTTTCCTCCCAAGTAAAACATGCATGGATTGGGGACCTTAATGACTAAAGCCATTTGTGTATGTGTGGTAATACTGCTGCCCTGAGACGTTCCAAAGCAACTGCGTAGGCCAGTGGTGTGCAAACTTTTTTTAAAGAGGGCCGGAAATGAAGGGTTTTTTTAGGGTTGAAGTTGTTGAGCTTTTTTTTAGGATTTTACCCCAGGAAGGAAACTGCCACAGGAAGGAGCCAGATAAAATCCGACAGGCCGGACAGAGCATTGAGTCAGACTTGGTATAAGGCTTCTTCCTGTGTATCTGTTTCAGCGGGACTATGGCTCAGTGCCAAGAACATCTTTGCACCCAGAAGGACCTTGGTTCAACTCCCTGCTTTGGTTAGAGCATGGTGATGATAATGCCAAGGTTGCATGTTCAGGCCCCATATGGGACAGCTGCACATTCCTGCATTGCAGGGTTGGACTAGATGATCCTCAGGGTTCCTTCTATCTCCACAATTCTATGATTCTAAGTATGCAAGTATTTGCATTCCTGCTATCCTAACCCAACACACACACATTTAAACTAGGCCACTGAGTGTTCAGTCGCCAGAGGTGAATATGCAAGAAAGTGCCTCAGCGTTTGCCTGACAGAACAGAAAGTAGAAGTTGGAAAATGTGCCCCCTTTTTTGTTTTTCAAAATGTGGCAACCCTATTATAGGCAACCCTTCCATAGTGATAGAGGATGAGATCCCACATCGTGCCAGTGTACACAGTGGGAATTCCCCTTCCTCTTCTGCCCCCTACATCTCCCCCCCCCCGCCCCATGTATCTCAGAGGGTCCCTCAACCCACTGGAGCAGATTTTGGGGTGCATGGGTGACAGCAAGGAAAATGAGAAATAAAATGTATCACGTGTGCAAGTGGAAGTTCACTGCATCAGTAGGGTGCAACAATTGGATATTGTCTATAAAAGAGCAAACTTTTACCTGTTAATAATAGTTAACTGTTGCTCTTGAAAACATCATCTGTCTAGTAAATGCATATACAGCAATTTTTGATATAGCAATAAATGTCTGGTGCTTGTTTTTTTTTGTTCCCTTGCTTTGAAAGGCTTTTTAGTCGTAGAGACCCTGAAGAGGATGGAATTCTTAAAAGACGGGGGAGACAAGGTCCAAATGCTAACCTTGTCAAGACTTTAGTATTTTTCTTTTTGGAAAGTGAGGTATGTTTATGAGTAACTTGTTCATTTTATAGAACTATAGTTAAGATAAATGCTTGATTTTTATGGTGATTTCTTCCAGAAGAGCATACCAGGCATTCAAGACTTTCTGAATAGTAAGAAGTGTCTCACCCAAGTATAGCAATTTGCTTAAAAGAGCAGTAAAATAGTTTTGCCACAGTTCATTTTATATACAGTGGTACCTTGGGTTACAAACGCTTCGGGTTACAAACTCTGCTAACCCAGAAGTAGTTGCTCCAGGTTGCAAACTTTGCCCCAGGATGAGAACGGAAATTGCAGTGCGGTGGTGGCAGCTGGAGGCCCCATTAGTGAAAGCGCGCCTCAGGTTAAGAACGGTTTCGGGTTAAGAATGGACCTCCGGAACAAATTAAGTTTGTAGCCGGAGGTACCACTGTATCTGTTGAACATTTTTTTAAACCAGGATGTCTTTACAAATCTGTTATTAAAGGGATTATTTATTTTACTGTAGAGGTAGTTTTTGATGATTAAACAGCTGCCTAGTGTGAGGCCGAGGCCTATATTTTTTTGGCTACACTAATTAGTGGAAAATGAGTTCATGAAAAGTTTTGGCTACTCTGTTAAGAGTATGAATATAAACAATATGGCCAGGAAGATTGAACTCATAGGCCACATTTCCTTTGCTCTTCTGTGCACCTCCAAATCTCTCCCTTTATGATTATTGCTGACACTGTTTAGCATTGACAGTTTTGATAATAGAAGCATGAGGGGAGAAGAAGAGTTGTCTGATTTGAGGTTCTTTGAGTGTTTTGCTGTGATTAGATCTTTCAAATAACCATGACTGTCACTGTCAATTAAAATGCAGCACACATTTCTGAATAAGTAAACCAGTTCAGGATGCTTAAATACACTTGTTTCAAGGGGTCATCATAGTAACTGCAAACAAGTAACAAAACATTTTCCTGGTTAATTGCCCATAATTCTGATCAATATTAACACTTCCCTTTGAAATTATAAATAACAGGAATTAGTATTAGCTCTTTCACAGCTTCAACAACAGTAGGGCTTTTCCTAACCATTGGGGTATACATATTAACTAGTTTTCCTGAGACAAAATGTTAAATACAGTTGAATCTTTTTTAGTTACATGAGCATGCTGCTTACTTGGTGGACAGCATGTGGGATTGTGCCACTGACCTCTTGAAGGACTGGGAATGTATGAATAGTCTTCTGTTGGAGGAGCCACTCAATGGAGAAGAACGTAAGATTTCACTGTATTCTTCAGCATCAAACTTTTTCATAAGAAGACTTTATAGTCTGGTTGGGAAGGGGTTTTGATTTTGTAGAGGTTTCCTTTCTCATGGAAGAGAAAGGGAAGCTCTTTTGTGTACAGAAATCTGGGTTGCAACCATTGGTTAGCAAATAGTCCATATGTCTTGCAGTCCATAGGTCAGTTTGGTTCTATGCATATTTCCTTGGAATGTACTCTTGGATTGGACATACTCTTTATGAAGCATAGTTTGTAGCCTAAATCTGTTGAATTTTTGTTGTTGTCTTCAACTTGGGGATCAAATGAAATATGTATATGTTTAATAAACAAGTTCTCCAGAGAACTATAGAGTGGATCTTGCAGTGATGAGGAGCAAAATCCACTTTCCCTTGGTCTCTCACCATGATTTTTTAGTATACAAAGTTAACCCCCTCCCCTATTTCATAGTCAAACCAGCAAATGTGTTTTAATAAACAAACAGATGTCTGGTTGCTCCTCAGTTTTTCTGTATAGGTATTGTGGTTGTAGGAATAATGCTATCTTGCAGATTTATACTGAAACATCATCCCTGATAATTTTATTAAACATTTGAAATCATTTTAATACTAAATCAGTACCTTGAGTTAATTCTGCAGATCAGTACCCTTGCTCCTGCTTTGTTCTTATCATGTGAATCTCCCATTTACTTTATTCTGTAACAATAATACTGCTGTTTTCTTAAAGAAAGCATTAAAATGCAAATACAGCCTTGAATGTAGTACAAAAACTGTAAAACATTACTATTACTTCCAAACCTGAATTCAAACTCATAATTGTACACATTTGTTGTTTTCTACTTAATCTTGATGCCCCAGTTGCAAGTTTAAGCTATTAACATAATTCCAGTGGAAAACCTTTATTACTTATATCTAAGGCTTCATAAGCGGGTATGTTCTTAGTAAAAATGAGTTGAAATATTTTGATCTTTTTTATAATTTCAGCTTTAACAGACAAACAGGAAAGTGCACTAATTGAAATAATGCTGTGTACAATTAGGCAAGCAGCTGAATGTCATCCGCCTGTAGGAAGAGGCTCAGGAAAGCGGGTATGGTTTTGTTTCTGTAAACTTATAGTATGGCAGTAGTGCTGAATTCATTCTCATATTTGATTTTAATAATAAGGCTTTCTAGCAAATGAAAAACTGTGTTGGTAATTCTTCACATATGTTGTGACAGATGGATGCAGTACAATGTCAGTAATGTTGCATTGTTAAAATACGTATCAAAAGACCCTATAGTTGTGTCCCAAAAGCCTTTTAACTTTCATTGGATTATTACATTAAATCAGAAGTAAGATGTGCTGATTGGAAGATGAACTCATGCCTAGTGTACATATTAGTGAAAGTATCTTAACTTTAACTAAATTATCTTTTGTCTCAAAGACCAGAGTAAAGCAATCCCAAGTTCCAATACTGAAATTTGGTCATAGAATTGTGGCACATTTTTGTAGCATTAGCACTTATTAATTCTACGATGCAATAACTTTATGTAGTGTAAATTGTGTGGCTGTTGAAAACATGATTCTATACCCATTGCTTAACTTTGGTTGTACATTGGTTAGAGGATTCAGTTAATAAGCAACTAATAAATGTAAACAAGAAATTTTAGTTTGCTCCTTTATATGAATCTGTTCATACATGTGGCATCTGTACCAAATTCCCTACACGTAATTGTCACTGGGCAGGTATGAGCACATGGATGGGTGGGGATTCTGGCGCAGCTGCTGCACATCTAAGCCACGCCTGTTCTTTATTTTATATATTAACTCCAGAAAGTAGTACAGCATAGCATGTCTTTGAATAACAGTTGCTGGAGAACAACAGTGGCATAGAGCTATTGTTCTTGTGTCCTGCTTTTGGGTTTCCCAGGGGCATGTGGTTTGCCACTGTTGAAAACAGGATGCTGGACTATATTGGCCTTTGGTCTGGCGCAGCAGGCTCTTGGGTCTACTATGAGTTACATTTTTATAACTTAGTAAGTTACTGGTTGTACTAAACAACTGTTGAAACTGTTGATATGATCACTTATTTAGTTATAACTATCCTCGCACTTTCAATGTAGGTACTTACGGCAAAGGAGAAAAAAGCACAGTTGGATGACAGGACAAGGATCACAGAACTTTTTGCTGTGGCACTCCCTCAGCTGTTAGCAAAAGTGAGTGATTTATTTCTCTCTCTTTTTAAGACCACAATTACATAGGAAGCTGCCTATGCAGTCTCAGACTATTGGTCAATCAATCTCAGTATTGTTTACACTGACTGGCAGCGGCTCTCCAGGATTTCAGACAGGAGTAACTTTCTCAGTCCTACCTAGAGAAGCCAGGGATTGAACCTGGGACCTTTTGCATGGAAATAATGTGCTTTGCCCTTCTTGTGTAATTTTCCACTGGTCCCAGCACTTGAAGAGGCATACAGAAAGATTGCATTTGGAGAAGTTACTTGGTTAATGAAGTTAACAGTGCTGATTAATAATGAATATTTTTGATTTCCTGGTGAAACTCATGTCTGGAATTGTAGAATGCATAATTTGATAGAAAGCTGGTATTAAAATTTAACAAATACATGATTATGTGGGGCACTTTTGTTTTCTTTTAAAATATTTGAGCTTTGTTTTCTTTATCAATTTCTACAGTATTCTGTAGATGCAGAGAAAGTCACCAACTTGTTACAGTTGCCACAATATTTTGATTTGGAAATCTACACAACAGGGAGATTAGAAAAGGTAAGTAAATTTGCAAGTATAGAAGAATAAAGGGAATAAAAACTGAACAAATCCTCCTATTAAACAGATAATTGTATATTGGGGGTTAGCAGCATTCCATAGTGGGGGCTATTGCAGGCTTGGCTATGGAGCAGATAGCTTCAAGAGAATGCAACTCTTGTAACAGGTGAAGCCAATACCTACCTCTTTTGAAATAAGTAGTTTTAAAGAAATTCCTTTTGGGTTTGCTTGTTTGTTTGCTTGCTTTTGTTTGTTTGTTTGTTCTACTTGATCAAATAACCAGAAAAAATATGTTTGCTGTACTTACTTGATAATTTTGATTTGTCTTTTGTAGCATTTGGATGCCTTATTGCGACAGATCCGGGATATTGTTGAAAAGCACACCGACACAGATGTTTTGGAAGCTTGCTCTAAAACGTACCATGCACTCTGTAATGAAGAGTTCACAATATTTAACAGAGTGGACATTGCAAGAAGTCAGCTAATGGATGAACTGGCTGACAAATTCAATAGACTTCTTGAAGATTTTCTGCAAGAGGCATGTATCTTGTTTTAGTTGTGTGTGTGTGTGTGTTTTTTTTCTTGCTTTAGCATTCAAGCTAGCATTCTCACTGGCCAGATAGCAAAAAGCTTCTCACAAGGTACAAAACCCCAACAATTGTGTTTATTTGTAAGGTTCTCTTGTTACATATTACATGAGGCAATATAAGATATATTTGTTTCTCATTGCTCCTTGTAAGAACAAAAAACCTCAACAATTGCAGGTACTTCATATATGGCCTGAAATAGAAAGCATTGATAGTTGTTGATTTTGTGAGTGCTTTTCATTTGAGCTACTCATAAAATATTACTTTACCATTTATTGAAGATACTTACTTTTACTGCAACTGTATAATTTTTTAACAGGGTGAAGAGCCTGATGAAGATGACGCTTATCAGGTCCTATCAACATTAAAGCGAATCACTGCTTTTCATAAGTAAGTACAGGAACAGCCTGTCCGCTTCTTGCAACTCTCAACTCTTTGTTTTAATAAGAAATTTAAATTCTAATCACTGAGAAGTTTTAAAAGTGCTAAAATTAAACTATTTATTTCAAAAAATAATTTTTAAAATAATTGACAGTAGTGCTGTGATCATTTTAGCAGCCATGTATTATGCAGGCATTTGACTACTTTCTGCTCAATATGCCCAACTTCTGTTCCTGCTGGTCTTTTCCCCTATTAACATTACCACATTTCATGTTTGTGTAAAGAGGCATTCACTCTTTTAATACTAGAGAGAGAGAGTACTACCAGTTAGTCTTCATGTTAGCTCTTTCTTTAGAACCACTTACTTAGGGAAAGCTGTGCATGAATCTGTCTTGTCTTGTTTGAAGGTGGACATTAAAAACCTGTACATGTGTCCACTACCTACGTGTCTTCTATGTACACTCCCAATATTAAGCTGAGGGAAGGTTCAGCATCTTTTTTTGCTAGAGTTACAGTGTGCTTTTTTTAAAAAAAATATGAATGAGTTTACCCTTATTCTTATACCCACAGGAAATTCATATGTAAGAAAATAAAGAAATATTGTCTTACTACATGAAATGAAAGAGACCGAATATATGGATGCTGCTTCAAACAGCAAAATTTTAAAATAATTAGGCAACAAATCTTACAACACTTATTTTTATCTAAAGAGTAAAAGAATCCTTAACTATTCCCAAAAGTTTCATTACTTGCTTGAAGTCAATTGTTTCCTGAGTCTTCAGGTTATCTTACTGTTGACTATGTGGGACACATTCCTTTACAGGAGATGTTGATTAAATTTTGCTGGTAACCAGATTATTTCTGCAGTACGTTACGTAAATAGTCTTAGGAGGTTAGGATGGTTGCTCAGTGCTTTCCAGGACAAATTTGAGATAAGAACTAGACCAAGATCTGGAAAGTTCATTTAGGAATATATTTTATATTGAATGATACCAACTGTGCTGATGCCACAATCTATTCTACAGTAAAAAGCTATTTACAGATTGGCACCCCTGTTTCCTTCCTCTTCCAATCCAGGGGAAGGGGCAAGGAGGGAAAATCAGGCACATTTCATCCTCCATGACTTGGTGCTGTGCAAAGCACACTGGAACTCTGTAGCAGGAGTGGGGATATTTATTCATATCAAGGGTTGTATTCCATTATGGGGAACCTTCTGGGGGCCACATGACTGTTGTGGGCAGAGTCAGAGGCAAAAGTTGGGGCTGCAATAGGTGTGGCCTAGAGAGGTATGAGGACCACCTAAGGTTTCCTCTTCTGTGGTGATAACATGTCTAGATCTGTTATAAGGAGAGTAATTCAACTAATGCCTAAGGGTAGTTGCACTGTGCTGCTTGCACTGTATTGCAAGGAATACAGTAATCAGTGCATTGCAAAGTGGGAGAGAAGGTGTGATGAAATTGAACTGTTCATTTTCTTTCTATTTCAGTGCTCATGATCTGTCAAGATGGGATTTATTTGGTTGTAACTACAAGTTATTAAAAACAGGCATTGAGAATGGAGATATGCCTGAACAGGTTTGTATATTTAAAAAAGCAGTAATAGGAAAAATACATCTAAGAAAACAAAAATCACAGTCCTTTTTTTAATAACCATTTTATCTTGTGTTTTAAACACAGATTGTTATTCATGCTCTGCAGTGTACTCACTATGTAATCCTTTGGCAGCTAGCAAAAATTACTGACAGCAGTTCTACAAAGGTAAGCCTTGTTATGATGATGGTGGCAACTTATAGTTTCATAGAATGAAATGTGTAATAGCAGTGTGTCACCAGGTCAAGCTACTTGAAGTGCCTGTCAGTATGATGGGGGGCGGGGAGAGAAGGACAGCTGGTAACCCTTCTGACCTCTGAAGGGCAGGGTGGATTTATTGAGCTGAGGGAGGGAGGTCTCTCATTTAAATGACATAAATGGGACATCTCTTTTCAGCCGCTTATTTCTATCTGTAATGAGGAGAACAGAGGAATGCAATGTGTGATCCAGAAACCTGCTTGAAACTTGCACAGCGTATAATTCCAAGGGTCAAATAAGCTGCAATTATACTACATGTTTTTTGTTTCTTTTCTTAGATCATTTCTATTTTATGACACGTTCTTAGTTAACATACATTTTTTGTTTAACAAGCAAGTATAATTTAAAGCATTGCATATTATTTAACGTTCTGTTTCAAAGGAGGATCTTCTACGCTTAAAGAAACAGATGAGGGTATTTTGTCAAATCTGCCAACACTACCTTACCAACGTAAATACTGCTGTTAAAGAACAGGTTAGTCACTGTTTTACTACTTGGCCCCTTTGTATGTAAGTGATTGAAGAAACATATATATATATATATATATATATATATATATATATATATATACGCGCGGGTATATACACACACACACACAATTGTGTAATAGTGCAAATTATTAGGATGCTAACGTTTAGAATATTGGAAAGGCAGTATCTTTAGATTGTTTCAGCATATGGCATATGAAAACACACTTTTGTTTGATATTTTAGTTGAATAATTTCTAGCCCTGGGGTTGCCATTGCAGTGCTCAATGGCAACCTGGTACCCCAGAACACCTACATTAGTTCCACCGCCCTGCCCAACGATCAATTAAGAAAATTGATTTTTTTATTTTAAAAAAGGGCTTTCAGCTATTTTCAACCCAGAATGCTTCTAGGTGCACATGGGCCTGGATGGTAGATGGACTGGAAATTACTCAGGTACTGCCTTTAGAAAGGTGAATATATATGTGCTAAAATACATAGCTCTCTCACTAGATTTAGTAGAGCTCCTCAGAATAAAAGGTAAGCTGGGGGAGGGGACTGTTTCATTAGGTTTTTGTTTTATTTTATTGGATGTCATTCTTTTGGTGTTTGAAAGGTTAATATTTAGATAAATGGGAAACTTAGTTGGATCCTTACTTTACAAGTTTAGCATATCATATCTCTGGTTGATGATGACTATAACTGTTTATTGGATTCCTTGCCACAATAATACAATCATACTAAAATCTGTTAATGCTTAAAAACGGAAGAATAAGGTGGGTCCTAAAACATCTCAGGTGTCAAAGGTCAGGGTCTTCATAATATGACAGACACAATGTAATGATGGTGTGGGAATTCCACATCTAACAGCCTGCAACAGAAAAATATATATATAATTATGGTTCTTATCATTATTTTTTGCAGGCCTTTACAATTTTGTGTGATGTATTAATGATCTTCAGTCATCAGATTATGTCAGGAGGTCGTGACATCTTAGAGCCGCTAGTTTATACTCCTGACTCTTCATTGCAAGCTGAAATGTTGAGTTTTATTCTCGATCATGTCTTCATTGACCAGGATGATGATAACAACAGTGCAGGTATAAGGCTGTGAAATCATCTTCTAATCATATTGACAGAATCTGAATATGACCCAAAAGACTTGGGTTCTCCCTTAATCTGCTAAATCACTGGCTTCCTCAGAATAGCTTGCCTGTTTTCTTATCTTATCACATGAGTTCTCAGCTGCAGTCTGAAGTGGTACAGTGCAGACACATGTTTATCACTTGAGTGGGAATTAGGCCCTAGCTTTCACCATATTTTCATCATTGCAGTCTAAATTGTAGTAACTCACGTTAGCTTAGAATATGTCATTTACAACAGTTAGAAATTTGTGGCCTTGCATTGTGTCCTGCTTTCAGTTACCTTTAAAAGATAGCTCTATGATTCCATGAAATACCAGTCTAAGTGTAAATTCTTGTAAAAAAGTTGGAAAGGGATCATACAAGAAATGAATAAAGAGAACTTAAATCAACTACCAAAACTATTCTGTGCTACAGTGTACTTAAAGTTTTATTTTCTTTTTAAAGATTGCCTTGTTAATACAGTGTAGCTGGCAAAGCATTTGGTAGTCACTTCTTTTTTCCTGCTGTCATAGGTTATTTTCAACAACATTTTCAGCAGCTGTTAATAAAGGTCCAGTTGATGAGAATTGATTTTTTAATGCTGTGCACCTTATTTCATTTCTCAGATGGACAGCAGGATGATGAAGCCAGTAAGATTGAAGCTTTGCACAAAAGAAGAAATTTGCTTGCAGCTTTTTGTAAACTTATTGTATATACAGTGGTGGAAATGAATACTGCTGCAGATATTTTTAAGCAATATATGAAGGTAATTCAGCATTTCTGATCTTCTGAAAATGGTGGGGTGGGGCTTTCATGTTAACTGGTTGCTGTCAGCTAGCATGTTCTCATTTTTCAAGTATTTTATATTTCCTTTTTATGTGTGGCTGTTAGACCATAAACAGTTCATATACTTGATTCATATTAGAATACATTTGTTTTCCTTATGTCTTGTATTGATAGAATGCATGTCTTGCCTGGGCCCTGGGAATGTCTTGTTAAATTGTAGTTAAATGAAATATTTTAAAGTCCTTTTTTAGTATCTCTTCAATTGACTTCTTGACACTGTTAAGAAGTGACTGTTTGCTGCCAGCAAGTCAAGCTGTTTTGTGTGTTTTCTCTCCCTTGTAGTATTACAATGATTATGGAGATATAATCAAAGAAACAATGAGTAAAACAAGGCAAATAGATAAAATCCAGTGTGCAAAGACTCTGATTCTCAGTTTACAACAGGTAAGTACTTCCTCAATTAAAGTACCAATGGTTGCTAAAAACAGACCTTATTAAAATAAATTAGTGCAACTCAAGTTATAGGAGTAATTCTATTTATATCTGAGTCCATTGTTATGCCCATGAAGCTCTGCGATACTTAATGCTAACTTTAATAAGCATTGACAATTAGGAAATTTCTGGGAACAAATCACATTTCATATGTTTGTGATTTCTCTCAAAGAGAAATTCAATCACTTAAATGTATGCGAGTGTGCATAGGCCATGTGTTGGACTACCCTCACCTGAAGGAACAGGGTTTCCCATGTGTTTCCCTCAGTCTGTAAATTAATGGGTTGAATAATATTTGTCAGCTTGCATCACCCTGCAGGCCATCAGACGATAATTCTGAAATACTTTAATAAATCCTTATTAATTAATATTAATGCCCAAGTTCACAATGTCCAAATTCATTAAGCACATATCTTCTATGCTCTTCTTCACCTTGCATAAATTTTAGAACTAGTACTAACACCAAATTGCAAAAGGTTTACTGAAAATAAGTTGACATATGGGTATGCACATTGTAAGCTTCAATCAAGTTTTGGGGGATGGAATTCAGCAGACAGAATGCTCTGTACACTTCATTGTATTGTTATAAGTAATACTCCCGTCTTTATAAACTTATATCTTGCTGGAGTGTAAGCAAAGTTAGTATTTTATGTTGAAAGACTAGCTCTTAAGATGGTTTTGGTTAAAGTTGGTAGAAGACGCTCATTTTTTAAGATTTGGGGAAATAGTCAGATTATGCATTAAATTATACAAAAGTTTATTAAGACTGAAAAATGCTTTCTTTATGCAGCTTTTCAATGAGATGATTCAAGAAAATGGGTATAACTTTGACAGATCATCACCAACTTTCAGTGGCATTAAGGAGTTAGCTCGACGTTTTGCTTTAACATTTGGACTCGATCAACTGAAAACAAGAGAAGCCATTGCTATGCTACACAAGTAATTGCTCCCATTTTTTTGTTTTTTGTTTTGTTTCGGAAAACACAAATGCATTCTGGAGTTTTGAATTACTATTTAGCTTTTTGTGAATTTTAATGTGTGATCAGTCTCACCATTTCTAGCAGGTGGAAGGTCTAAAATAAATAGTACCGTATTTTTCGCTCTATAGGACGCACTTTTTCCCTCCTAAAAAGCAAGGGGAAATGTGTGTGCGTCCTATGGAGCGAATGCAAGGGGGAGGCAGGCGGGAAAAGCCCCCAAGAGCCGCACACAAGCTTCGTGCGCTCTTGCGGGCTTTTCCCCAGGAGGGAGAAGGGACTGACTGGCTGCATTAGTCCCTTCTCCCACCTCCCAGAAAAACCAGGAGAAGCCGCGCAGCCACTTTAAAGAGCTGGCGGCTTCTGCCAGTTTTGCGGGAGGTGGTGGAAGCAGGGTGCGGGGGTGTAGGGGAGAAAGAGGGCAGGAAATAGATGCCGGGCAGGAAGACACAACCACACTTTGACCACTGGAATGTCCACCCCAGCCTCCCCAGATTTCCACTGAGACGGCCAGGCTAATCTCGATGGCCATAAGTCAGGCTCAGCATTATTAACTGGACTTAGATAAGCCATGGTTCCCCTTCCTACCCTCCTCTGAAGCTCGATTTAAAGCAGCAAATGGACAGGAGCCGCCCGCTTTGCTGCTTTAAATAGTTTAGTGCAACATTTGATTCAGAATATTTGTGTGTGTGTTTTCCTCCTCTAAAAACTAGGTGCGCCCTATGGTCAGGTGCGCCCTATGGTGCGAAAAATACAGTATATTAAATTCTAGCCAATTCAGTCTTTGTGGTAGGGGTAGAACCTGTGGCGCAGAGGCCAAATATAACTCTCCAGGCATATGTGAACCTCAGTTTGAAAGATTCACCACCTAGGTAACTTCCTGTAATTTCAGCAATACTATCACACAAACCCCTTGGAGGTCTGTGCATTTTACTCCATCTGCTGCACAATAGCTTGCTTTCTTCTAGCCTAGCTGGGCATATCAGAAAGTAGACCATGATATTTCTGAAGCTTTTTTATGATGATAAGGCTGTAGTTTAGTGGCAGAGAACCTGTTTTGCATGAAGAAGCTCTGAGGTTCAAGACCTAGCTTCACCTTTGTTTTTCAAAGTTGGGCATCAGCAGTGGGTAGACTTTCATAAAGCACTTTCATATGTGCACACAACACCAAAAAGAAAAGTGTCATACTTTGAATTTCCTGTATTCCATGAGAATACAAAAACAAATAGGAAAAATCCTTTTAGCTTCATTTAAAATGTTTAATTTCAATTGAGAACAATGTTTCATTCACAGTTGTAAAATACATGATTTGCAATATTTGAAATGTAAAAAATACTGTTTACCCTTTTGAAATATTTTTCTAGCATCAATTGTTTTGGAGCCTTTTCATGTCAAAGGGAAATCTTACTGTATGTTTTTCAATTTTTTGCCCTTTGTGAAAACTTATTTATAACTGCTCACTTCAATTCTTAATTGTTTTCAGGGACGGCATAGAGTTTGCTTTTAAAGAGCCTAACCCTCAAGGTGAGAGCCATCCACCATTAAATCTGGCATTTCTTGATATATTGAGTGAGTTCTCATCCAAACTTCTCAGGCAAGACAAAAAAACAGTGTAAGTACATTCTTTATATTTGGATTTTCTTACAAGCTACACAGATGTCTTTTAAGTATCATCATTTGTTCTTTTAAGAACATTTCTGTAATATATTTCTCTGAGAATAGCTGTGCCTTAATGTGGAACACTTTATCTTCAGTTTGCTTAATAATTAATTAAAATAGAATTGTTTCAGAATGTTGTGGGTGGACAAACTTTAGCACTGGGACATAGTGCCCAAGTCTTCTTGTGCTGTTTGAGACACTAGAATTAGGACAAGATATACATGTAGGTTGTCCATGATGTATGGAACAAGAATAGCTTTTACCAAAAATTCCAGAGGAGAATTTGATAGTAGTTCCAGAGCCAACATTCCATTCCATTCCATTCCATTCTAGCTCTAGGGGTCTGTTTGCTATTACATTCCAGATTAGGGCCAACTCAACAGTCCTTTCTAACTTGATGCAGTCTGCTAGTGGGGTGCAGAATTATTATTACAATTATTATTATTAAATTTGTATACAACCCTTGATCCAAAGATCACAGTGTGGCTCATAACATACAAATACCAAATGAGAACACAAAATACATAATAACCCAAAAACAAAATGAGCAGATGTAAGAATGGCTAGAGTTTGTGCTGACAAAAGCAATACATGGACATGGCTGCTAGCTGTTTTGTTATTGTAGGGAGAATTGCTACTTAAATGCTGTTTCTGTCTTTAGACCTTTGAATTTAAAAGCTTTAGAGAACTGTGTCATTACTTTTGATATTTTTATGTTAAATATATATCCAGTGTGTGTTAGTAATAATTTATTGTTCCTTCTTAAAGGTACGTATATCTGGAGAAGTTCATGACTTTTCAGATGTCTCTCCGAAGAGAAGATGTGTGGCTTCCACTCATGTCTTACAGGAACTCTTTGCTGGCTGGGGGTGATGACGATACTATGTCAGTCATTAGTGGAATCAGTAATCGAGGGTCTACAGTAAGGAACAAAAAAACAAAACCAGCTACAGGGAAGCGGAAACTACCAGAAGGTTTGGATTTTTAATGTTTTCATTGCAGCATGTTTGGCTTTCAACTTGAGAAGTGCTAAAATGTAAATTGTAGTACAGTTCCTGATTTCATTTAATGGGAAGGCCTCTCTCACAAAACCTTAGCTATTTGTAGCCCACTGTTTCCAAAGATCTGACCCAGCTGTCATATATAAAATAAGAAAGCTTTCAGCTTAATTTGGCTTAGTGAAAATAACATATTTATTGTACTCCAGGCCACTGACTTGTGTGATCCTGCCTCCCTTCGTGGTTTTCTGAAACCATAGTTGCTCTTCTGTGACTTCTGACAGACCTTGGGCAAACTTTTGTTAGGGCCAGAAAGGGATTTCTATGAGTTGAAGCGGTTTTGCAGATGCATGTTTTGCAGGCAAGGCTGGGTTGGCAGGAAACGACCTATCAGTGGTGGTGGGGATGAATGACTCTATGCCATATTCCTGATAGCCATATAATTTCAGGGAGTGGTAATTGGAGCCATATAATTTTAGGAAGTGGTAATTGGATTTTCTGCATTGCGTCTATGCCTGTTGATTCTTTTTTCCTGCAGTACAGGAGGGGACCATCAGGTGAGTTGCTCCAGTAGTCAGGCAGAGCTAATGTGCCTACGAAGTGGGAATGAGATGTTGTTGTTATTTGTGTTGAGGTCTACTGCTAGGTCTGTGCAACCACACTAGCTCTTTTTCTTCCTTTGACTTTCTTTTCTTGGAGTTACTGACAAGGGGGACACTTAAAAAAGAAGAAAGGAACTCAAGAAAAAGACAAAGATTTATTCTTTTGGAGGTAACCAGTACAGGCAGCACTGCCTAGCAAGTACAGTGCTTCCAGCCCAGAAGTCTTGTTGGAGGGAGGCAGGGGCAAAGGAGGGAAGTGCTCAGAGCTACAGAAAGCAAAGGGTTGAGCAGCTAATGTGGTAGGCCTATTCCTGCCAATCAATCTGTCCCCTGGCATTTGTTCCTGATGACCTAAAGCCTCCTGAAATGAGGTTTCCCTGCATTCATCAGGGAAGTTGTGCCAATCCAGGATTGGACAGTGGTAGGTCAGGAGCTGGGAGTGGCTAGCACAGATTGTCTCACTCACCCATGATTAACCAGGCCTTTACTCTGAATTTGGCAGATTGTTTTGGTGAGCAGCCCTGTAGCAAAACAGCTGCAGGAAGGACCTAGACCCCATATGCTTTCTCTACATCCTAAAGAGTGTGCTCTGGGTCCAATGGCTTCACACATGTCAATCACAGTGGAAGCAGCGGGGGCTCATCGGGGGAGTCCATAGCAAGCACCCAGTCACAGAAGAGTTTAAGCAGCTGTGCCTCAGGACAGTTAAGACTCAAAGACTGGGCAAGAGACTCCAAGATATATAAGATATATTAATAAGCATCCTTGAGGGAAGTACCCTATCTGAGAAAGGTGCTCATTGAAGTGAAAGTAGTTTGCTTTGCTTTGTACAAAATGATAGTTTCTTGCCAGGGTATTTTATTAGTGCACTGTACTCTTAGAGACGTGACCTATATCACTGCAGTTTTGTTTAGTTGTTTTAGTTAAGGGTTTTGAATTCTAAAGCTGTTTTATCTCTTTAGCTGAGGAAAGCAGCAGTAGCGACAGCATGTGGATGAACAGGGAGCAGACAATGCACACACCTGTCATGATGCAGACGCCGCAGCTCACTTCCACCATCATGAGGGAGCCCAAAAGATTGCGGCCTGAAGAAAGCTACATGGGTGTCTATCCAATGCAGCCTGAACACCACCAACCTCCACTTGATTACAAGTATATACACACTTCTCTCCTTTATGCTTTGCTGCTACTACTGAAATATTTGGTCTGCCCTTCTTTTAAAATCTTGTTTATTCTTCTTTCAAGTACGCAGGTAACATGGATGTTAGCTCAAAGGCAGCAGGAAGAAGTAGCGAGACAGCAGCAGGAGAGAGCAGCCATGAACTACGTGAAGCTGAGAACCAACCTGCAGCATGCCATGTAAGCTCAAGCAACAGTTGCCTATATATAATGTTGCTTATTCTTCGCTGGTATGTTTTGTCCTTGGGTTTACATTATTTATCTCTTAATTGTAGTCCTTGTGCCTTGATACATCTGGCCAAGATCTAAAGAACTCTGAAACTAGCTTCCTTTGGGGGTTTAGTCTCAAGTTTCTCACATGAACTTTCCCAATGCCACACAGCAAAGTGCCTTTGAAATTGGTGGAGTTTCTAGTACTACAACAACAACAACAAAATATTATTATTATTAATGCTACCCATCTGACTGGGTTGCATAAAATCACAGTAAACATCAAATGTTTAAAATGTTTCATTCTTTTGGAACAGCTGTTCTCAACCCATTCATTCTGCCCTGTGTACCTGAATGATAAGCAAGGGGTGCAGTGTTTGCCACATTGGACACAAATTTATATCAACAGTACTAGCTAGCTTGCCAGGGGATGGGGTGGGGGATAAGGAGGAATTGCAATTGCACTAGTTCCAGAGCCATAGCAGGATATAGATGGGAAGACAAATGAGAATACAATGTGGACTGCACTCAAGGAATATTTGTCTTTGGCTGGAACCCTGGACAGTCATTTCACGTGGTGCAAGCCTTTGAATGCAGCCATCATCTTAAAAGAGTTGCTGAATCCCTGCTCATAGTTAGTTAAAAATGATGCATTATGTGCCTGCATATAAGGAGGGCAAAGCACTAGCACATCTGATGCTTTCTGAAGCCGCTTACTCATTAGAAACTGCTAGTGTTGGGTCTTGATGCAAACTGTATCTTTGAGATTGTTCTTAATTTATGTTTCAAACATACATATTGGTGAAAGGCTAGGCATTGTTCACACATTTATTTATTACATTTTTAAGTTGTTTCATTCTCTGAGTGACTTTTTTTTTTGAGATAAACTTTTGAGAGCTTCCAATAGTCGAGTTTTTATTGCCAGTGCTTACTTTCTGTAAGTAACTTGATGGCAAATGCCAATGGATTTTTTATATAAGTTATATGTATTACACGACTAAGTTAAAATTCTGTATTACTATTTAAATAGCAGTCGACGTGGCACAAGTCTAATGGAGGATGACGAGGAGCCAATTGTGGAAGATGTGATGATGTCATCAGAAGGGCGCATTGAAGATCTCAATGAAGGCATGGATTTCGATACCATGGACATAGATTTAGTAAGAAAAATCAATTACTGCTATCTTAAAGCTTTTCCTCTGCTGTATCTGTCTTCATAAGATGGCTATAGCATTGCACTGATTCTGCCACAGCAGGTTTTAGGCTGCAAATGTTGCTTTTGTGCGAACTAAATCTGGATGCACCATTTCTTTGCCTAGTATGTCAACTAAATTAAATGTTAACAGATCTCTAGATTTTATTCACTGGCTGACACATTTTAAATAAAACTCGTAGAAGTTTGTGTATTAATTTTAGATGGTCTAAGCAGATTGCATAAATAAACATCCAAATATGATGATACTTGGTTTGCTTTTCAGCCACCATCAAAGAACAGGAGAGAGAGAACAGAGCTAAAGCCAGATTTCTTTGATCCTGCTTCAATCATGGATGAATCTGTAAGTGTGATATGACAAGCTGGGTAATGTATTTAATTGCAATATTTGATGATCTACAAATTAGTTTGTCAGGGCGAACATCACTTCCTCCTTGGCAGCTGTGGTAAGGACCTTCTACTTGGCTCAGAGCTTGGAAGGTGCTAGCACATAAATTCTGCGTTCATTCCAGAGGTACTCCCAGTTGAGCCTGAAGGTTGCCATGAAATGGGCTGCCCCTTCCTCCTGAGTTTGTATCTAGTAGGGGAATTGTTCCTGACCTCTAGTTACAGTACTAGTGCCCCTGAAGCTCATGGTGAGATGAGGCACAGAACCACAAATTTTGACTACTCTAGTGAAAATGTGGACCCATTAAAATAGAACAAAAGTTACAATAAAAAATAAGAGACTAAACACCACAGAACCTTTCTCCTATAGAGTATCTTCCCAATGTAAAAACAATTGTGTTACAGTCATACCTCGGAATAAATACGCTTCAGGATAAGTATTTTCAGGTTACGCTCCGCGGCGACCTGGAAGTAATGGAGCGCGTTACTTCCGGGTTTCACTGCTCGCACATGCGCAGACGGTCAAAATGACATCATGCGCGGAAGCGGCAAAACGCGCAGACGTACTGTTGCATCTTATGTTCTATTTGGGATGCGAACGGGGCTCCGGAACGGATCCCATTTGCATCCCAAGGTACCACTGTAGTTATTGGGCTCTATTTGACTTGTATTTCATTCACTCATAAGTAGGTCAGGTTAAGTAATTAGGAGTTGGAAAGAGCCTTTGAAGGTGATCTGTAAACTGTTTAGTCACACAGATACCCCAGCTGCTGCTTCCTGATTGCTAAAAGGCTCTTGAATCCAATCATGGGAAAATTAATAATGAATGGCATATTTTTACAGTATTTAATCTAAACCACAATCCACTTAAAATTAGCATCCTGTTGCCCTTCCAGCTTCCTTTCTTTTCTTGCATTTATATCCTCCTTTTTCCCCTCATGGAACCCAGGTTGTCACACTTTTGTCAAGAGTAGTCCTTTTTTGTCATGGGTGTGACCGCAAAATAGCTACCAATGTGTGTTGGGGGGTGTGGTGGGGTGGCTAGTCATAAACTTTGAAGAGCACCCTCTGACTCAATGTCTTTTCTACATGTGTGATTCTTGGTCCTGTCTCTGTTTTCATTTCATTATATTCTTCCCATCCCTAGTCTCTGATCTCTCCCCACCTTCCTTTCCTGCCTTTTTCTTTCCTTGGGTTGGTGGTGATTTTTTTGTAGGCAGCTGTAATCTTGGGTCCCCCAAATGCATTGCTTAAAATCAACACCATGCATTTGAGGGGTTTAAGATAGCAGTGACCTGCTGCGTATGGCAAATGAACATCTCTCTTACAAAAGTTCCATTGCCTTCCATTCTGGGGAACATGGGGATAGGTAGGATTAAGGGAACAGCAGCAGGGGTGGATTGGTGTCACAGCGGATTGGTGCCAAAGTGGAAGGTGCACCAAGGAATGCTGGCCTAGAGTAAATCAGTAAGTTCCTTTTGCTTGAATTGGAAAAGTAGCAGCATTTTATCAATTGCACCACAAGATGGCAGTAGATACTAAATTTTTTGATCAAAAAGTCTTGTGGTAGCTGTAAATACAGCTTCTGAAGAAGTGTGCATGCACATGAAAGCTTATACCAAAACCAAACTTAGTTGGTCTCTAAGGTGCTACAGGACAATTTTCTTATATATTTTGACTGTGTCAGACCAACACAGCTACCTACCTGAATGTGAATACATAGTTTTTAGAAATAGACAGACTTTGGCTTTTAATTTCAGAAGGAAACAATAACCTTTACTAGACTTCTTTTAACTTTTCCCTCCAAGCCATAAGTTCTATTTCATTGTTTTTCTAGCATAGGCACCTGAAAGGGAAACAACTGGTAGATACGGAAATGTATATATAAAGAAATGCACATTGATTCAAATTTTACCCTTGGTTTCTCTACACATAAATATTTTTTAGTACAGTTCTAATAATTTTAATGTAACCACAGTTGGAAAAATGAAAAGTCTTCACTTCTAGTGACCTGCTTTCTGTATTCTACAGATTCATGTTAAATACTGTCTTGGTGTGCTCAACCCAACTGAAATTATTTGCATTACATTTCTTCTGCATGTAGCTGAAATACGTTGTAGCTTAAATATGAATAAGCTGCATTACCTTCTGGATTTGCAGTTCTTTATATATTTCCACTAACCCAATTTCATCATGAGGAAAAGAGAAAAAGTTGTAATGCTCTATTTTCTACTTAGTATTTACTGGGATGTGGGACTCCCTGCTTCATGCTAAACTCCCTCAGGGGAAAGGGGTTGGGGGCAGCATGCCCAAAGTAGGGACCAGCACCCAAAGTGTCCCAAGGCCAAAATGTATACACAAACTCAACCCCATTCTCTCTTTCCACGCTGATTGGCTTGCACTGAGAAAGAGTTCCCCAGATAGGGCAAGTAGCGATTTAGCATCTACACTTAGGGCTCCCCTTTCTCAGTGGATGTTGTATGATAAGAGGCCTGGCAGACAGCTTCACGCTGCTGGTGTATACACTAAAAGTATTTTCTGTTTATAGATATTAACTGCTGTAGACACTGGTGAAAAAAAAAATTACAACCTGATCTCAACTTCATGCATTTTCCCCCTCTCTTCTAGGTTCTTGGGGTATCAATGTTTTAATTCCAGTACAACCGATAACACCATGCTGAAGTTGTTTTCTAATGTGGAAGAGATTTTTAAAATAAAAAACATGTGGTAGATACAGCGATATTCTAAATAAGATTTTTTTCTCTAAGGAGAATGATGTGCTTACAAGATCCAGTACATTTAAGAGGCAGTTTTGTTTGCCTGAAACATAAAGGACAAGTAAACAACTTGAGGATAAGCTACAGTTTCTGTTGGCAAACCAGTATTTTATTTATGTAATATTAGTTTATTTCCAAATCATAGTAAATAATCACTTTTTTGAAATTCGTAGCTGTTGGATAGGGGCTTGGTGCATTTTCAAGCCCTCCTCTTTATGATTTTTCTGATAGAATTCAAATAATCATGATTTATTCTAGATTACTGTTGAAATTAAGAGCTGAAATGATGGGATGGTTCAGAGAATCATTGAATTGTTGGAAGGGACTTGAAGCATTTTCAGCGAGATGCTATAAATTTTGGTCAACTGAAGCATTGGTTAACTTACAATAATCATAGAGAGAAATAAACTTACAAGCTGATTGTTTTACTCAAAAGCTATTTTAGGACTTAAAATGCCCAAGCCTCCCAAAACTTGCTTATTGCATATTCATGAAATATTCAGAAACCATAAACTGCCAGAAAGCACTGAGATCAATCCTGCTTACCCATTTATGACCCTGAGAGTTTGCTTGTCCTTTAAGAAAAATGTAATGTTGTGAAATTCCTTCCAGTAGTGCCACTGTATTTTGTCTCCAAATAAAGAAGCTTATTGTAGTATGTTTGCAGAAAAAAAAATCTAAACAAAAAATATACAGCTTATTAGAGTGTGGGAATAGGGGTCTAAATTCTAAATAAAATAAATATATATATATAAATATACATACATATATATATATATATATATAAATTGGTGCTGATTTTATAATTGCGCAGTTTGTTTAGTTTTTTCTTACTTTTAAATTCCAACTTAAAAATTATGAGGTTTCAGAAATATATTGAAAGTTTAACAATGTTTAAAAATAGATGAGCATGAAAACTCATGCTTTAAAAATGATTTTTAATTTTGTATTTTATATTGGTTTATCTATCTCTGTCTTTGCAAGCAGTCTTCAGGTTAATACTTCTAACAGGTTACAGTACATTTCCTCTGTATGTAAATTAAATTGGATAATAGAATTCATCAATTCCCCCCATAATATTCTTTGAAAGCTAAGCTTTAAATTTCTTTCATGACTTTTTCACAATTAAATTTAACCATTCTAAATAAAAACATGGATCTATGCCATGTTGACATCAACTCACTGCAAGGCTTAGGCAGCTACACATCACTTTAAAGGAAATGTTAACTTATATTACATATGTATATTTTTTGTCAGTTGTCTCTCAGCTCTTGAGGTATATAATTTCTAATCATTCCATGCGCCTTAAAATGCTTGCAATACAATAACTTCCTCAGATAAGCAAATATTTTTAAAAAGGCCTCTTATTCATTCAAAAAATCAAATTGTGGGCTGTGGTAGCCATAAACCATAGGTTTTCTAAAGTATCGTGATGACATAATTATTTTGAAAAATCATGGGTTAATGAACACACAGAGCCAATCTGCCTAGCTTCATACTATCATGTCTAAAAACGTACTGCCTATATTTCCCCCCTTCTCCACACCACTGCATTTAAATAGAACTGCTGAAAGGACTGTATATATGATTTAAACTTAAGCTGATTTTTTTCTTACTCTTGAAGGAGTGTTTCTTTGTGAAAGCAGTTCTTACAGCTTTATGTTTTCAAACTAAAAATGTTTTATATATTTACCTTAACCTGTTGTCCTCCACATTCTATTGTCCTAATTGTACTGTTTTCTGATTTGTATTTATGTCTTGAGACAAGTAACTTTTTGAATAAAAATAAACCTACAGTATGTTGTAAGTTTGATCTTTTTGAATCAAGGGTAGAGGAGAAAATAAAAAAGAGTATGAATGGTGCAAATGTTATGTTTATAAAAATTAAAGCTTTTTCCATGTCTTTTGCTTTTTTGTCTCAGAATTGGGATAATGTATGGAAAATGCACTGTTTTATATTTGTAATAAATTGTACAAGTTTTTAAAATGTGAATAAAGCACTAATTGGGTTAATAATTTAAAGTAGAGATGTTATGCAATGATGATTGGTGTAAACATTTCTTTAACTGAAGATAAGTTTGTGTCTCCTCCCCACCCCCCATTCTCCTACCTGCCCGAATTGTAATTGTATTTATCAAGCTCATCAAGAGAAAAGAATTTTTAGGGATATAAGCTGTTCACTGGTGTTCATTAAAGTTGTTGAAAGTCCAAGCTCTGCAGAAGCCCTAGCACCTGTATTAAGTTGGTCTGATTTAAATTGTTCTGATTCTGTGTTGCTGCTGTAATTGTGGGCATATGCATACAGTCTTATCAAAACTTAATAATGATTGATGTTGCATTCTGATGCACACTTATTTGAAAATAAGAACCAATAGCAAAGATTTCTAAGAATGCATAGGTACTATCTATTGAAATCAGTGGGATTTAAGTTTCCATTGTTTTCAGTGAGACCTTGTGTAACTGACATCTATCCATAATACATGACACAAGATGAATCGCATATATACACATATACGTGCATAATATTGTATGCCGCCTTTCTATAGTTCCATATTCAAGACTGCTTACCTGAAAAAAATACATAACTGCAACATGGCAAAAGTGGTCATAGACAATAAAAAGACATCAAAAAATACACAACGAAGCTGAACAATTTCAGCTAAATCACAAGATGTAAAATAAAGGTACAAAAAACAACAGCAACACCCCTATCCCCAAAAAACACCCCTCCCAAGAGTCTGTTCAGCAGCCTCAGTTTTTGTAGTTTTAGTCAGTCCTCTTCCCTCCCAGGCCAAGTCGAAAAGGCTCAGAAGACAAGATGGTCTCAGACTTGTTCCATCTGTTTTTCACCTTGGATAGCTAGCCTGAGAGCTTTCGGAGTTTGTAACAAGTTACTCTTCTATATCAAGACTGGGGGAAAACTTCTTCACACTACAGGATTTGACAGATTACAAATTTCCAAATGATTTTACTGTTTACTTGGATGGAGTTACATAAATGTAATTTCTGAATTAACGTAACCCACCTGCAGTTCTGATTTCAGTGCCAGTTTCCCAGAATTTGGTACACACCTCATTTTTCATATATGATTTACCTGAGATTCCTGCATTGCAGCGGGTTGAACTAGATTACCCTCAGGATCACTTCCAACTCTAGAATCCTGTGATTCCATTCGACACCTCAAGCAGCTTCTATACAAAACATATCTAGTGTCCTGTCATAGCTGCCCTATTTGCAGAAAGCATATCAAAACAACTGGGTGTGATGCATATGCAGTTTTAGTGGCCCAGCTTAACACTCTGCATGTAGAGATTCTCTTCTGCAATGAAGTAATGGCAAGTTTCTCTTGATGTGCCAATTCTCAATTACACTGCCTGCACATTGTGGAGTTGGGGGTCAGCATTCCTGCAGTACGTTTTCCACTTGCATGTTACTGACAGCCTCCAGCAGGTGCAAGACATTTTACCGCTGAGGGAGAATGGTGCCTCTCCCGTTGTTACTTATGGGTGCTTTTTAATACAATGAAAACAACAGGGAAGAGTCACCTCTTCTTTGCCTCCTGCCTTCTCCACAGCCCCACCAGCATACTGAGTCATTTTTGGCAAATTTGCATGGTCCTTGCAAACAAGGCAGACACAAGAATGCCACTGTGAAAAAGATTGCTACATGCCTAGAGGCAGCAGCCAGTGGAGTGGCTGGCATGGTGCATGCAGGCACAGCAGCAGGACCAATCCAAGACTCTCACTGCCTTGCCCCCTTGACACTAGCACATAGCCTTCATGACTAGTATTTGATAGCCTTAACCATAGAATCTTAAAATTGTGGAGTTGGAAGGGACCGTAAGGGTCATCTAGTCCAACTCCCTGCAATGCAGGAATCTTCTGCTCAACATGGGGTTTGTACTCACAACCCTGAGATTAAGAGTCATGCTCTACCCACTGAGTTTGTCTACTCTTGAAGTCCAAGCTGGTGACCATCACTACATTCTGAGGCACTGAATTCCACTGTGTCCATCGTGTTCACATCTCTGCTTAGGAAAAGGAGTCTAAAGACCACTCTGAGACTCTGGAAAACCATTGCTTCTTGCAATAAACTATGCTGGGTTAGATTGGTGGTGGCTAGTCTGTGTGGATCTCCAGAAATTGTTGGACATTTAGACACATGAATCCCAGCCAGGGCCAATAGGCAGGGACTACAGGAGTTGACCAGCAACACAGTCCTCAACAGTTTTGGGGAATCCACAGTAATTTGCAGGTTGTCCCTCGAAGAGTGAGAGCTCTGAAATCTCCAAATCTCAGCCCTCACCTCAGCATTTAACTCAAATTTTAAGCAGCACTTGCGTTCTCTATAAATAACATAAAAAACCCCTGCCACTTATGAGTAAAACAATAAACCAGACCTGCTTCCCAAAATCTGTTTTCATTACTTATTTCATTACTTCTAAATGGAAAACTTAGAAATTTACAGCCATTATGCCCTCCCCGAATAAGCGAGTACATGACTGCTACCTTCTCTACAAGCAGTCAATTTGTAAATGTTTACATGAGCATTCAAGGCTGAAGTCCTAGCCCCGCTTATGTGGAAGCAAGCCCCGTTAACTTCCTTTACTTCTGAGTAGGCACGGCTAGAACTGCGTTGTTGCTTCTTTAATAAAGTCGCAAAGATACTGGTGGGATTTTAAAATTTAGCAAATGCATTGTGCCACAGGCTTTTGTGGACCATTTCTGTAAAGTGCACGTGACAAAGCAGGGACATGAAATAGTAAATAGGTTAGGCTGTAATCCTACGGCAATTTACCTGGGAGTAAGTCCCATTGAACTCAGCAGAACTTCTGCGTAGAAATGCATAGGAAGCTGCTGTCAAGTGACACCTGAATTCCAACCACTCCATACCACAGATAGTTAATAAACTAAAAAGAACATTTAATCACATGCCAGTTGCATGTTTCCATGCTGGATTGGAAAAGGACCAAATTGGCTAAGGAGAAAAAAAAGAAAATTCAAACTGGAACATTTTAAACAGTTCTTAGCTTTCGCATCACAACCATGAATTCACATGGCAAATACAACATCACGTTAAATGAAACAGCCTTTGATAAACATTAAATCCTGTCTCGCAAGTCTCCAGTAATGATTTTTTAAAAAGGAAATATATTTCTAACTACTGCAGGGGAGAATCGGAGAATAGTCCATAATTTTGACGCTTAGGAAAAGCAGAATGGGGAAAGCAGAAAGAGATGTGTTATTTAAAATGCTGTGTGCGCGCGCATGCTGCTTTTAGTTCAAGGCTGCTGGGGATGCGGATGGGGAGGAGAGATCTAGTTCTGCAGCCACAAAACTGCTCTTTGCCCACTGATTTAGCGGATCCAAAAACAAAACCCCAGGTAGCGAGGAGGCTGACTCTCCCCCAAGTTCCTCTCCCGAAACGATCCGATGCTCAGCGTTTGTCCCCGATTTCCAATAGGGAAGTGAAACTTTTTCTTATTTGTGCTTTAAAAACAAAGTACATAACCGAAACGTAGGGTATGAAGGGGCTGCTATCCTCAGCAAGCGCGCTGGCTAGGAAGCTCGCCTCATTGCAGCGAGGAAGGGTTGCTTCCGAGTAGACCTGGCTGGTCAGTGTTACCCAGGCAGAGAGCACCTGTGCTTTGTAAAAAGCATCGATGATGGCAGTTTATTTAATAGTCTGGGGTGATACGGGAGATCATCCAGCCGAAACCTCCAGACGTCCTGAATAGGGTAAGCCCCATATCAGGGAGAAGCGCCCCAGAATCCTTTGGAGCTCTGCAAACCAACTTTAATGATGGTATACAAGGAGGTGTTTTTTAAACACGCCTTAGAGATTTATTTGTTGCGTTTCTATTCCACCTGAGCTCAAGATGGCGCATTGCTCCCTTTTTCCACAAAGGTAGGTGGTTGGGCTGAGAGGAAATGACTAGCCTAAGGTCACCCCGTAAGCTTCATGGCGGAGTGGGGATTCGAACCATGATCCTATTCCAACACTCTAAACCACACCACCACCACCACCACCACCACCATACAGAAATGGTCAGTTGTTGGACGTGGAATCGCACAGGCGGTGATTTATTTATTTTTCCAAGTGCCGTGAGTTAATAAAAACCACCACTGAAAAGGTGTGTTCTTGGGAAATTCTTCTGCGCAAACGCCTCGAAGGACCCGAGAACTGCCCAGTGGATGGTGCCCTCAAATCACCAATAAATGAATGGAATCGGATGCGTCTTTTCCTCCCTCCCCACAACGCTCCGCTCAGAAACTGCCACGCGTTTCTCTCTGCCTGACTGGTTCTGCTATTGACTGGTTTATGCTATTACATAAACCTGGTTCCTTTGAAATTGCAAAGCTTTCAAACAAAGGAAAGGTCGGCGCAACTGGGTTAGGTCGATCTCCGCCTGTCCCCATCCGCCCCCCCCGCTCCGAAGCAAGCCCCACTGAGCATTGAGAGAGCCAATCAGAGCAGCGAGGAGAAGCCCACAAGGCAGGAGAGGGGGAAAGAAAAAAGCAACTTTCCAAGCCAGCGAGAAAGGGAGAGTGCACATGCTTGCCCAGGTGGTGACAAATCGCCCCTTCTCCAGCATTGACGTTTGCTCTTATTCAGATTTAAAGAGCGGGACTTCCTGCGCTCCGACAAGGAGCGTTAAAGTTCTGCCTGGAAATAGGGTGTGTGTGGGGGGGGGGAATGTGCGCATAAGCCCTAAGCTAGGGATGGCCCTACTTCTACTTCACCTGCACGCACACATACCCCCCGCGCACCTAAACGCCTACTCAGTGTTTCTCCAGGCATTGCTGTACCTTCCACAACCTCTTTTCCCAGGCTCCAGCAACAGGAACCCACGAGAGCACACAAGCCCAAGCCCCTTGGCGAGCTTTCTCTCGCTCACAAAAGCCCCTGGTGCTGGCAGGAGCTGGGAGCGGGGCAGTGGGTGTGCGCGCTTCAGACTCTAGCTCTCCAAAAACAGCGAGTAAACCAAGAGCGCCCCGCAGTGGCTTTGGCTACAGTAGTCGCTCCAACTGCAGGGACTGACTGCTGTTTTGGGCAAGAATCAGGAGGGGGGGGGCAAGAGGAGAAATATTCTCACCACCCACAGCTACCCACTCACTCCTGCTGGCCTTGCACCTGTTGAGCCTTTCACCATCAGGCAAGCCAGCCCTAGCAGCTGAGAGAAGCAGCAGTCTTGTGACCTGTACCTGCATCTCCTAGCTGC